ATTAAGTATTTATCCCTTTTTATTTGAAGGTCCAATTTTATCACTTCGTTGCAACCACAAAACTAATTGGAAAATTATATCGCACATAAACAAAAGGAATAAAAACATAATAGGCGCTTTTGTTGTCCAGATTTGCATCTAAAATCCTGTAAACTATATATAGTCACGAATTTTTACTAGTTTTTTTGAATAACTTTAAAGCCAAAAAACAAGATTTAGTTTCCCTCTTGCAGATCACTAGTGTTACAGTTCCTCTTCATTGCTTGCTTGTTATTATGCATCCATACTTTAAAAACTTGTCTCCTCAGATTCACCAACCTGCAAAACTTATCAATCTCTTGTTCATCTTTCTTCTGCATCCTCCACCCTAACCTCTCTGCAAATTCCTTCATCTTCTCCTTTTGTTCTTCATTGATCTTTGTCCTCACCCTCTTCTTCTTCCTCATCATCATCATCATCATTGAACCCTTCCCATCAACATTCTGGTTCCGATGACTCAAAATCTTCTTCATATCCTCGCTAGACGACGAAGTCCTCCGTCCAACCTCGCCCGCTGGATGCATTCCACGTGGCTGCATCGCCTTGTAGGAACCGCTACTGCAGTAAAACGCCGGAGTTATCAGCTCTTGAGTACTGTTTCTGTGTCCGTACACTTCTTTCCTGTGGAAGCTCCGGTGGCATTTGCAGGCTGCGCATTTTAGCGCCCCGAGCGTACCTTCTTCGCCTCCGGGCATGAACTCGCAGCATCCGTCTACCACGTGTCCTCCGGTTAAGGCCGCGTGGTTCTTCTGGCATTCCTTGTACTTCGCTGCTTCGTCGCCACGTGTCCTCGGTTTTTGGATTTCTTTCTTGACGGCGTGTACCGTGGGAGCTTTGGAGATCAGATCTGAACCGGGTTTGCCTTCCGGATCCAGGTACGGGTCTCGTCCCGGGTTGGTATGTGGTTTTGTTTCAAAGGTTTTGGTTGAGATCATGGAAGTAACTGCATTACCTTTTCCTTCAATCTCCATTATAAAACTGACCCTAAAGAATCGAAACTTTGTTAAAAGCAGTAGTTATAACATCATGCAAAAAATCTTTTATTTGGATATTATTTAATTTAGACTCACCTGCAGAGATTATGGAGTTTATAGTTTCAGTTTCAGTTTCAGCAGAGAGTAGTGTGCAAGATGAGATTGATAATGAAGAAGAGGGAGAAATAGAAACGGTGGTGGTGGTGATGTGTGTGCATCTGTTTCCTATCACCCATCAAGTTTAATTTCACATGAAAATCCAACAAAATATTGATTTTTAAAAACACAAACCTACCAGAGAGAGAGTGAGAGTGGTGGTGGTGCCTCTTAATTTAGAGACATTGTCATATGTTCGTTATCTCTCATCACCTGCAACTTTGGCCCATCTCCCATTATTGCATTTGCCTCTATATTTCTCTATTTTCTTTTGTGATGATGGTATTGGTGTTAATACTTAATACTATTTAATGTGTGTCTGCAAGAAACTCTAGCTTAGTCAAGCTATTATTACCAACTAGTTAAGACTTTTAGGGTGTGGGAAGAGAGATGGAGAAGAATCTTATGGAGAGCTAGTTATGCATTACAATTGAATAAATATTTAGTTGAAATTTTGTGTTATTTGGATCAATAGAAATTAAATTGAAAAAACCACCTAATTATCTAATGTTACAATAAATATGAGAAAAGAACAATATCAACAACTGTGGTGGTTTGGGGTTTGCATGGATATTAACTGTATTTACTACAGCTTCAACTTCCCATACCAATGGAATTAGGGTTTCTAATATATGATTAATAACTAACTTAATCAGAGTTAATCATAGTCTTGAAAGAGAAGACATATCAAATTAACTTTTTTTTTTCTGGTGGGGAGGGTTGAGGAATTAAAGTGTGAAAGAATGAAAAGCAGGTCCACATAAGCACAAACAAAGACCTGCACTTTTGTTTATCTCCACATGCACCATGTCTTGTTCTCAGATTCTTTGTTTCCCACAGCTGTGTTGCACTTTACGATGATCTTCTTATTTACCAAATATTTGAAAACAATGAAAATAGATTTGCCATATATACACAATCTTTCAAGAGATCGATCAATGTTACGCGTGACATCGTTAAACTTAGGTAAATTAATCTTCATAACAATATTAACAAGTAAAACACCCCAAATTAAAGAAGCAAATGCTTCAGAAATGCTGCTCTTGTTTATATCATATGTGAGACATGAGAAAATCAGACACAAGCTTTCTGGTCAACTAGTTGGTGCGGCTGAGACATTGGCCCAAGCCCAGTATCAGGAATTGGTAAATAACGAACCCAAGCAAAAATGAAACTACAGTAGATATATGATACATATTCCCACATAGTGTTACAAGGTTGCAACAATCACAGGAATCATAAGGTTTAAGTAAAATTGGGGTTTCCCACACGTGCTCTAATTTGCAAAGACACGAAAACAAAGCTAGAACAACTCAAGATTTTGCAGCAAGTAAAGCAATCTTGAAAGAGAAGGGAAGATAACTAAGTGGTGGGCGTGGAAATAGCTTCTTCGTCACAGGATCAGATTTAGCTGGCCGACCAAGAACAAGTGGGTCTTGAGCATGAAATGATCCCAGAACAATTACAATCACCATGATATTGATGCTAGATTTAGAAGCTATAGTGAGAAAAGACAATACCATGAGTCATGTTACTAAGACTAATGCAAGATACAGGAAAAAAAAGCTACTACTCTTCAGTCATATACCAATCTAGGAAACTTACTTTATATAAATGATAAACTTAACTAGTTAATCTCTCTTATCCTCTCTAATTATATGTACTCAAAGTTATGAATCTATTGTTGTCAACCATGGAATCTCCTTGAGAGAACACTGAAACGAATCAAGATTGTTTATCAGAACAAATCAATGACAGAGAAGTGTTATTACCAGTCAGATGAATGTGTGTTTTCTTTAGCTATGTGGACAGTTTGGTCTTAGACATCTTCTGAGACTCGATAAGCCTCCACATGTACCATGAACCAACGGACCTGTAAGGTCGCCATTTCTCACAGAGCTGCTCCATCTGCAACGGACCAGGAAGATTCTTCAAGCCGTAAAGATCTTTCACGCCTTTTCTCACACCGAGATCTCCCACGGGCAACACATCAGGCCTATGCAGCGAGAACATCATGAACATGTGAACAGTCCACACTCCGATTCCTTTAACCAAAGTTAACCGATCGGTCAGCTCTTCGTCGCTCATTTCGAGAATCAGCTCATCGGAAAGCACGCCGCTTGTGTATTTCCCGGCTAGATCGTGGAGGTAGCTGGCTTTCCTACCGGAGACGCCGATTTTACGAAGATCAACGGCGGAGATTGAGGTAACGGCTTCGGGGAGGACGCCTGATTCTCCGCCGTCGAACAGAGAGAGGAATCGTTCGTAGATGCATTTCGCTGCCTTGGTGGCGAGCTGTTGGTAGAGAATGGATCTCGCCAGGGAGAGAAACGGTGGGCTGCTTGAATCGAACACCGGAGGATCGTTGTGAGCTGCGATTACGGTTCCGAGCACTTCGTCTGAGCTCTGTAGGTGGCGGAGCGCGATATCAACCGTCGATTTCGACGATAGAGGAGACGCGGTGATCATTATCGGCGACGGATCGAGAGGAAGTGACGAAACTTTCCGGCTTTTACGGGGTCGAAATGTGATTTTGGAAGAAGTAGAAGAAGAAGAACGAGATGGCTCGGAAATTTCGAGATTGACGGCGGCAATTGAGGAATCCGGTGGCGGAGACGAAGGTCGATTTACGGCGGTAAGGGTTTTACGGAGAGTCATTGCGACGGCAGAATTGGTCACTAGTCCGGTGATCGTCAACTTCATCTCTCGCGTTGAGTCAAAACAAAAATTTAAAATTGTTCATCAGGCTATATCGATGAGCCCAAAACAAGCCCAATAACACTTTTCGGCCCATGTTTACTCTATAATGTATCCGTTTCCTCGTTGTTAGCGATATTATTATTGCCAATGACTTAAATTCTAAACGACGGTTTTTAAGGAATGGTCGTCGATATCTTAAATGGATTTTTATTTCCTCGTATTAAGCCGAACTAAATTCTCAACTAGGCCCATTTTTTAGCCCAGTTACACTGTAGACTTATGGTCGAACTTGGAAGTAAAATATCATTTGTTATGGATAGTGGAGACTGAAGAAAGTTGAATATTTGTCGACGACGACTGGATAGAATCATAGAAAAAAGTATAATAATAACAAGATTTTTTTGGTGTGTGATCGTGCAGAGTAGATTAAAAGCTGGTGGAATTAGTACAAACAATGTTGCAGAATCGGTTCAGTAAAATCGGAAAACTAATAATATAAAGAAAGGAAAAAAAATGTAAATATTCTGTTGAGCGCATATTGACACGAACAAAAGGTCAAGAAGAGGTAAATAGAAAAGGACAAAACGACGGTCAAAATATAAAGGTGAGAAAACAGAGCATAATACGACAAAAATAAGTTCATTAAATCACTACAATGCTCTGATCCAAACTGAAACACAACAGTACCCAGACATGAGTAAACCCACATTGGTACGATCAGAATCTAATCTCCCAATTCGACGATCAGATTTCAATCTTCACTACAGCTAACCCCCAAATATTTTTTTTCTTTATTTATTTATTTTAAGTTAACCAATTAAAAAAGAAAAACAATAATAATAATTAAGTCTCAGTTGTGAAATTCAGCGACTCAGGTGGAACTGAAACTTCCCCCGTTCAACTAAAAACTATATACATTAAAAGAGTTATATCCTATGTCTATATTTTTGGTCTGCGTTTTTCTATGTACATATTTTTTGTTTACAAGTTTTCCTAAAAAACACTCGAATGATTTGATTACATCACTGTATTCATTTGATGTCTAACATTTATCCATCACGAAAATTGTTGCTAAAATTTATTTATTTAAAAGACGAAGGCAGAGAAAATTTCCATAAAGAGGTTAAATTTTTCAATTAGAAATAGAAAAATGATTTAAAATTTGACCAGAACGGTACTTTATAGATAAACCATAAGTTAGACCGTCGCTATCAAATACCATCAACATCGTCTCTCGATATACACTTCTATTTTTTTTTTTTGAAACATTTTCTTCTTCTTTTTTTTTTTTAATTAGACATAATAAAATAATTAAAACACATGGAAACTTTTAAGAATCTAACGTCAATTTCTTTTTCTTTTTTCATCTGGTAAAGTCATGGACAAGACTTGCCCTATCCGCCACATTCAGCCTCCACGAAAGAAACGGAACGCCTCCGTGAGAACCGTCGGAGTCACAGTTGTTAGCTCCAACGCCTCCGTAATCGTCCATGAACCTGATCTCGTTTGCCGGATAATTGCACGGAACCCTCTGCGTCGTGTGATGAGCCCACGAAGTACCATTACTATTATTTCCGTTGGCAATATTGTAATTATTGTAGCCAGCATTGTGATGACCGAACTGATCGGTTGTTACCGGTGGAGCTCCGACGACGGCGTTGCCTGAAGCCGCTGTGGTTCTTCTCTCTTCCTTCTTGAAACGAATGCCGCATGCGTTGCATAGGGACTGTAAATTCCAAAACCATCCATATCATATCACTATTTAATGCTGTTTTCAATAAATAAAGCTATAGAGAAACGGAAATATTTTTTAAAACTGGGGGCATGATATGTTTTCTTTTGCAAATCTTTTGTTTTTGTTATGTTAGTTAGATCGCATTTGTATTTATTTTTTTAAAATAACATTTAATGAAAATCAATCACCTTAACAATCTAAATCACAATTGCTATCTTGTATTTTCAATAAATAAAGTTATAAAGACAATAAAATATATTTTTTGGTTTTAATGTTCAGAGAGACAATAAAATATTGGTTAGATAAAAAACGATAGATGTCTTTTTCGGCAATCTTTTTTGTTGATTATTCATAAGTAAGTTGCATTGCCATAGAGATTAGAAATTAAATCACCTTAGGGCCTCTAGGACCATTCCTCCATAGTGGAGTAGACGTGGTGTCACAGTTGGCACAGCGTCTGGCGAGGAGAGAGTCGCCTCCGCCACTGCCACTGCCGTTACCGCCGGAGCAACCGCGTGTTGGCTTGATAGGATTAGCAGTGGAGAAAGAAGGAACGTTACTATACGGCGACGTTTTGGAGCTGTTGTTGTTTCTGGTGTGGAGCAAGTCCCAGAAGTTGGAGATGCAAGAGGAAGCACCAGAGGAAGTAGAGCGTCTGCGTTTCTCGTCCTCCTCGCAAAGCCGCGTAGAAGGAGTTCCAAGAGAGAGAGTGCAGTCAACGACGGAGGAGGAGTGATAACCCTCGCCGTTCTGTTCGAAAACGCTGCCGTTTTGCATGGAGAACGCCATCGAGTAAGAGCCGGCGTTTGAGTTTGAGTTGTTGTTGTTGTTGTTGTAGCAGCAGCTTTGATTATGGTGGTGGAACATTCCACAAGAATGGCAATATTGCCCCTGCGTTGAAGTATTGTACGGAGTCTGCATCATCTCTCTCTCTCACACACACTTTTCTCTTCTCTCTCGTTCTAACTTTGAAACCCTAAGTCTAATCTAAGAGAAGTTAAAGAAAATATGAGGAAATTAAGTTGCAGGTTTTCACGTAGGAGTGAAGTGAAGAATGGAGAAGAGGGTCTCACACCTATATATAGAATCGAAAGTGTATATGCAGGTCTATAGTAAAACGAATATTTAAAATCAATAGGATATGTGGGGACGCAGCTTTTTACGAAGTAATATTAATTTATACTATCATTTACTTAAATGGGGTTTTGCTTGCTTTTTATGTTTTTTATTAGTACAAAATACGATGATACTATCAAGCTTCTTCAAACAGCTAGCTAAGTTAAGAGAAATATTTTAATCACTGTTTATTTTATGCTTATATAACACATGCTTGCTCTGTATAGAATCTGTGTAATTTTCTTGATAATTTATTGAATCAATATAGACTCAGTATTACAAATTAATTAGCTTATGCTTTCTATTTTCAGCCTTTAGACAAAGGACAATAGGATACGGAGATGACATGACACACATTATAAAAATATCAATAGAATATCAAACAAATGTAATCAGTGAGGGTTCTAGCATCGTTGGAAGAAATTAAGGTTTGAATTTTATTCACAGCAAATTTATTCATGATTGGGGACACACGAATTTATTAGATATAAATACTCACAGCTCTTCACATCCTATGAGAATCAGTGTGGAATTATGTTCGTTATTCTCCGATTATAAGAAGAATCAAGAAATATTTGCATTATAAGATCTATAAATTTCTAAGTAAAAGAAATCGAAACTATGTAAAGAAACATATCTTGAGCAAAAGTATGAACTGGTCGATGAATGCCAAAATTTCGGATGTAGATCTTAAGATGAACACATTTGGTAATATATGCTAAAATAAAATCATTCAATTGCGTGCCTCCAAATACTAGAGATTGAAGTTTGGTTTAAAGCTTTTAGTACCCGAAAAAAAAAGTTTGGTTTAAATAGATCTGGTAGATCTTAATGTTAACAAATGAGATCGTGGGGTCAGATGAAAAACATACAATTTTTGGACCATCATACTTACAACTCTTGTTAAATCGTTATTGCTTTTTAAAGTAATTATTATGTCACTCACACACGAATGTTTTTACTAGATCTACACATAATTGTAAGAAAGGATTTGAATATTATTGGTTTTTGTGGGAGTAAAACTAAACCATGCAAAAACAAAAACAAAAATCGAAGAAGAAGAAGGAGAGAGTCGTGATGTGATGTTGATGGTCACTGAAGAAGGGTGGTCAAAATTTAGCCCACGTGACAAGGGGGAGAGAGAGGAGAGGGAGAAGAGTACAGTCATCACTGCAAAAAAATCTCCGATCACGAGGCTCAATTTTTTCATTTTTATTTCTTCTCTTCCAATATAATGCTAAAACCTCTGTCTCTTTCCGTATCCCTGCCCTAAAAACCCTGAATCTCACGCGCTCTTGCTCACCTGCGCGTGGCCTCGTCCTTTTACTTCCACATCGCCATCACACGTTCGATATCTGCTCAGCCTCATGTGGTTAATGATGATCCATGATGATGTAAGTAAAAATGACTTAGATTTGGTTATTAGATTTCCTCAAAACTTGTAGCTAGAGCTAGAGTCTACTCTACTCTTGTCGTCAACGAATACTAGTCTTCGTCCCATATTTATTAATGGGTTTGTATGTTTATGCTTTAACTAAAACCCTCTATTGCTTCAACACATGGACTCTCGAGTTCTTACATTGTAGCTGGATGGTAGGAGAAGAGCTTCAGTTAGATATGCAGTGGTGGTGTGGTGGATCTATATAACTGTATATTGACCTGAACATATTATAACATCTTTCTAGATCTAATTTTTTTCAAAACGATATATATAAAATCCAGTTTTATGTTTTTACGATTTTAAAAATCATTTCTAGTCAAAAAAAAAATCATTTCTAGTCATGAGAAAATTGTAAATAGAAATTTTATCTAACTGAAAAGAAAACAATATCAAACAAAAAGAAATAAAATTTTGCAAATGACAAAAACTAAAACTTCTAGGAAGAAAAGCAGGAAACTAAAATTATCATAAATCTGAGTGTTATGGGGACTTTGTATTTGAGCACTTCAGGATGGTATATGAAAACGTATCCAGATTAACCAATAAATTCATGAATTTATAAAACGAACTTAGGGCGAGTGATTCCAAAACAAATGTTCATAAATGTGAAAATATGTGAGATGTCACATAATCAGAGAGATAACGTCACATAATCAGAGAGATAACGCAGGTTGATTGTTGATTAAACGATGGAATATCATAAATGTTCGTATATATGGATTTAGAACCACGAGGATCAATAACATCGGGTAATCCAAACCCCGACACCGAATTTGAGGGTCGAATGTTCAATTTTCATCGTAAGGATTAAGCCAACACAATCGGTAACTATTACGATTTTGACTAATCCCAAACTAACCTAGTATGACCAAGAAAAAACTACCTACCAAATATTTTAATGGACCGAAATGCAGTTTTGGTTTACTTACGCATATCAGAATTATTCCAAATGAGAACCGAACTTGGAAGAGTGGGAACGAAATTAGTTTACACCAACTCACCAAGAATCTAATTAAGAGAACTACCATTCGGCCACATACGCGCAAACTTATTTTTAACATTTTAGACATGATTTTACTTATTTGAAGTGATATATTGGTTAATATATATACAACGAAAAATAAAATATTTTTATTTGATCTCTTTTATAACATTTTTGAAAAAATTGTATTGTGCTAATTATGAAAGACATTTTACGTATTTATATATATATATATATATGTGTTCTATCATAATTTCGTTTAACCAACAATGAGACGTTTATAAAATAGGCCACAAGGGATTAGATCAAAAACTATATTTATGACATTTTCATACAGTATTTGTTCGATATATACGTTAAACAAAAAAAATCTTCAATAACCTCGTTCGAACCAATCATGGTCGTAGTATGCATGGTTGAGTAACGTATCGAAACCCTATGGGAATCCAATTCTTTGTGGGGTTTTTAATAAAAAGAGAATTCGAGTTTAGAATCATAATGATATGAGAATATCCAGGAAGATTTGGATGAGTTTTTAGAGTAACAAGAAAAATATTGCATGAAAAGAAAAGCTAATAGATTAGATTGTGAAGAACCCAAAAGATAAAGGGAAGAATCCCCTCTATTCAAGTGAAGTACCTTCCTACAATCATCAAAGCAACACTCCAATTAGCCTATGCATACACATGTATGAACAATATAACTCTTTTTTTTTATTTAATAACTTTTTTCCATTTTTCATGCTATCTTAGCTTAGCAAGAGAGAGATTCGGCTCTTGAATCTTGATGGGTCAAAGAAGGACTCTCTAAAAAGGAAAGGTCAAAGAACTAATAATACTCCCCATAAATTTGATCTTGAACTAGTGAAAAGAAACAAAGAAAAAGTTATTGGACCCACCTCTTAAATCATTATACCTAATAGTAATACCACATGGCAAATTGACAACTTCTTTTTTTCTCTGTAGCCAAATTATAATGATATGGTATGAAGAAGTGCTTGTATATGTTTTGATGAATAATCACAAAGGTGTACTTGTTCATAATCTGAAAATTATAATTTAAATCGAGTCACTATGATAGTATTCTACAATATTACTAGACTTCAAATGATTTTTTTCATCCCTTCCAAACTCAAAGTACTAGACTTCTCATCCCATTCGGAGAGGCCTAACGACACCAGTGGTCCAAGAACTTCTTGTTATGAATTTAGTTATATACTATTATATCTGATTGACTCTAACTTACACATTATTTTTATCTTTTTAGGAAGGGTTATAATTCGAATCATCCTCCCACTACAGTTTTGTTTGTAATAAAATCTCAACAATCTATATACTTAGAACAGATAATCCAAATAGAAGTATATCAGATGCTATATACTCCATATTTATGTTCCATACTCTAAGTGAGCTTTGATCTGAGATCCCTTATAAAAAAACATTAAGAATTGAAATTTGAAATTTTCGTCACTGTCATTTTTTTACTTGTTTTTATTAATTCAAAATATTTCAAACTAAATTCGCAAAGTCTATAAAAAAATTAGATTTTCTTACCACTAAAAGAACTTACAAATAGCAGTCCGTAATTCAAATCACATTACGTAGAAAATGATTTCTTGTCTCTAGACCTACATAGCAAATTCTAAAAACGGTCGAAACACAATAAGATAAGTTAAGTTTTATGAACTTACGAAATAACAATTGATCAAAACACGAACCTATTTATTTACTCCTAACATTTAAGAAAAATATTTGTTTCGCAAGTTTAAGTACAATTCCTAACATTTAAGAAAAATATTTGAAAGAACAATAAATTTAAAAATAAAAAGGTGAAAATCAGATCGTCTTGAGATTGCCGAAACTTAGTTCGACTAATGGGACGACCACCACTTTCCAAAAGATGCTCTGTCGAACGTTTATATTTATACAATTTATAACTCTAATTATTGTACGTAATCTATATTTATAGTAATTTTGTTAAACTCGAAACGTAAAACCGTGATTACCCCGAGGCACAAAGCGTTACGTTTCGCCACTACATGCAAAGCTACTTAATATCTCACGCGACCCAACCACCCGTGATCAATACGCTCCTGTCCAACCACAAGTCTTTTTTAACTCACGGGCTTAAACGGCGCGTTGTTAAGCCAAGCATTTCGCTAATGCGCCCATAAATAACCTACACATAATTAAACTAAGATTTCATTTTGCTATTTTTTCTTTTAAAATGGAGAAACTCTAAAATAGAGATAGATTTCTCTCCAATCCATCTATATTTTAGAGAAAAATATAGAGGAATCTATTTTTTTCTTTATATTTGAAAAAAAAAATAGCATTTCTATTTTTTCCTCTAAAATAGAGGTGGATTGGAGAACAAAAATAATACCTCTATTTTTTCATCTAAAAGTAAAGAAAAAAATAGCAATAGATTGGAGATGCTCTAACGTACAAAATCGCTATTCTTTAAATATGAAAATTTATTACAAATGATAGTATATTAATTTATTGAGATAAAATTAGTTTACGCAATAATAATTGATAATTTATAAACTAAAAACTAATACTACATTTTTCATTTTTGACCAATATTTAAATTAATCAATACTATTGTTTTTACGTTTTATCACATATTTTTTTTCAAAATATTGTATGTTTTTAAAATTAGTATATTATCTTTAAGTGTTTTCTATAAAACTTTTTAATTTGATTGAAAAAAGAACGAACATATAAAATTATAGGATAATAAAATAAAGTGATATTTTAAAGTGATATTTGTCTTTTTAAATATTTGAACGAAAGAAACAAACTAATTTAAAATTTACATTTCAGTTTGTACATGTACATAAATTGTTTTAGTATCTTTAACATTTTTTGTTGATTATAGACAAGAGTTTTAAATATTAAAAAGTAAAACCAAACGGCTATACGCAAAACAAAAAAGGCAGGAAGACTTCAACAAAAAAACAAGAAGGAAAAAAGAAGAGACCGGCTCGCAGTCCAGTACAAGGGCAATAAAACTACACGGCGTTTGATGATGATGCAAATGCAAATGATGATGATGTTGGCTTCGGTGGATTCGGTGGGACCCACAACGTTCCCACAAAAGTTACGCGAGTTCCAAAAACCATAAAGAGAGAGAGAGAGAGAGAGAGAGAGAGATCGTATTTTGGTGACGATGAGTCGATTAGTTGCATTAATCCGTTTGTCGTTAATCAGGGTGCCACGTGGTCTGAGCCGCGAGATTTTAATTCCCCGCATGCATGCATGTAAAGCAATCAAATGATCAGTAGTAGTCACTAAACGACTAATTTAATTAATGTTTAATTTAATACTCCGGTATGTGTTGGTTTAGGAGTCGTCTTGGTTACACTAATTAAAAAACGGGACATTCCTCAAAAGTTACAAAACACGACTGGAATGTTTTCTTCTCTCTGCCCTTTTGATGGATTCTGCTTTCTCCTTTTTTTTTTTGAAAATTCTGTTTGTATGGTATGCGTTCTCAAAAAATGAAAAATCAATATAGGGGCTAACTAAGAATGCTTTCTACTTTAATACTATATACACAGAAAAAACAATGTGAACAAATTGTAACATATAGGTATTAAGTCTACGGATCATTGTTTTTATGCGAAAATATAAGGTTTAGTCACATGTATCAATATTTTAGAGTGAATCACGATGTACTTTAACATTAAGACTTCATTCGTGGAAATTGTTAAGATGTTTCACTAACAAACTTATTAAGATGTTTTGGAGTTTAATAATACAGTTAAAAAAATAAGATACAGTTTTATTTGAATGTTGCCACCAAAATTGTTATAATGAGTTAATTTTGTTTCTATGCAGATGAAATATTTGGAATTTTATAAGGGTGCTTACACAATATAAAACGTGTCACTCGGCTAGCTATTTTTATGCTTTCTTTCAAATTAGCACGTCGCTTCCATCTTCCATATGCCCCGTGATTTTTATTCGTTAAACGGTTAACTATAGTAAATTAGTAGTATAACAGTACACATTCCAGCTGTCATATGCTATCTGCTAAGACAATTTTTTTTCTTTTGTCTACGGCTCTTGTAACCTCATGTTGTCTGTCCCCTCCATAGCGTCTCTTCACATTTCCTAAGGATTCATCATGTTATGAACTCTTGGGTATATTTTTTTTAATGAAAAATATCAGCTATGTTTTTTGTGTGTGTGTTTGGTCAATTAGTATGGTTGACTGGAACATAGGTCTAGCGCTATATTTACTTATGTATTTTAGAATTGTAAATATAACACAAATTATCTTTTATCAAATGTAACAATCTTGGTGTAGGTACCGCTACTCTAATGTTTGTTAATTATGTTAAAAAGTAAACCCAAAATACTTACGTAAAATTTAATGTTTGTGTATGTTTGAAACTCTTAGGGGGGTAAGGATAGATAAATCAATCGCATTTTTATTCGTTTATGGGTTATGCTTGCATGAATCAATCGCATAGATCAAAAGAGATAAAAAGAGACAGAAGCAGAGGAAAGAAAGTAAAAGAGAAACAAATATGGGAGTGGTCCAATATAAGTGAAAAGGGCAAAAGTGGAAATAAAATAAAATTGTTGGACCAACTAGAGGAATGCCCCAAGATTGGGAGAGGTATCAATCATGATACATAAAAAACATAAGATATGTATATATAAAATATGATCAAAGGTAGTCACTTTGGTCCATGATACATCTTTGCTAGCTTGACCAATTCTTCTAGGGCACAAATGTATATTGGATTTGTTGTATCATCTTTACCCAACAAGTTTCTCTTTTTATATATATAGTATATTTTTTTGCTCTTAACGTTTCCCAATTAAATCACTCCACTTTGAATCTTCCACTTATATTCTTTTGTCTTCAACACAACACAACACAACATATTCAACTTTTTTCTTGTTCTTGTAGCCCAATAGCTTTGGAGCATAAAGAGGGAGACATTCCCTCTTAATTCGGATAAGCATCAAAAAATTATTATAGCTATATTGAAACTACATTAGAGATCCATTGCACCCTCCCAAAATTGTATACAGTGCACTGAGGATCGATCATTAAACTAGCATTTTAGAATTACAATTGGTTAACCACTAAAGTAAAAACGTTTTTACTATTGCATATTGAAAATTATAGATATACATACCCATATTGGCCTGTTGGGTATTAAAAAGGTCAAAAGCCTGTCACTGGAAATTTGCAGGTCGGATCATAAGAATTTCAAAAGGCAGAATGATATTTTGATATGAATTGGCACTTCAAACCATTTTCGAATCTTCAGTCTTCCCCCATCGAATTCCATTTTGACTCTTTTTACACTGCACGCCGTTCGGCGTAGTCGTACTTCCTATATGCTACTACTTTGGCCCCTATTCTACTTTTTTTTAAACCCACACAAACTGGTCACCACTTTACGTTTATAGATCTCAACTTCTCGCCGTTTTTTTAACATTTATGAACCGCATGCAGTCCACAATTATGACTCTCAGGCCCACGTAAGACCAGTGAGCCAGCCCATCCAACGCTAGGAGTAAACAAACACTGAAAAGATGAATTAAATTACAAAATATGATATTCGTTTGACGCTCTCTGTCACCGTTCAGTCAAGAGTTGAATCTATCGGCCACGCCACCCAGAAACAGACTTCGGGACAAGCGAAATCGAATTCGAGGCAGCTTCTAATCTGCACAATGCGCGAAAGAAAAACTGTTTACCTTCCACACCACAAATAGGGAGAGAGAGAGAGAGAGAGAGAGAGAGAGAGAGAGAGAGAGAGAGAGAAAGAGAGAGAGAGAGAGAGAGAGAGAGAGAAGAAGGAACTACTTTGATATTTCTTCAACAGCTTTCATGACCTCCACGGAACTAGTTTCTAGTACCTGTCCTCCAAACACAATCTCGTCTAAAACTGCATGCATCTGCAATCAATGAAAGAAAGAAGATGACACAAAAGTTCTACTACTACTACTACACTCTTTTGTTGCAAATAGTTATCCCAAAAAGCGGTCCAAAGGAGTTTTTCAGCACTAGTTTTTTGTTATAATACCGAGTAGAAATGGCGGGAAAGAACTATTCTGTGTAACCAGGACCATTACCTTGCTGTAGTTGAACACAATGTCGAGTTCGCAGACATTACTGAAACATTTGTCCAGTGTTTCAACAAGAACTGCCAAAGCAAGAATTAAACTGAAGTCAATCATACTATGGAAGATGCATTTTTAACAGATTTAAAAAAGAAAAGCCAATGATTCATATTTTTAAACATCATTCGTGACTAGCTAAGGGTTCAAATGATTATAGGACTGATTTAAGAGAGTCTCAACTTTCGAGCCAGCACAATACCAACCCAAAGAACTCAACATCCAGGCCTATGTTCACCACATCCTATATACACGCCAGCTGATCTGGCACAATATTCAGATACATTTGTACTTAATTCATGGCAAAAAAGCTATAATGAAAGAGTTAAGACATTGCACTATTCCACTACTCAATATTCTGATTCCTATAGTCTCTGTTTTCTAATATTTTACTTCCTTGAAGGTGATTGCAATCCCAGACTATTCTTCACGTACACTTACTGAGACCTAACACATTAACTCTTCCGAATCTCCAGATGGAAGACGCTGATTTTGCAAATCTCCTCGTTTTCTCAAGATGTTCAAAGTAAGCTACAGCTATGGAAGTCTCTCATTACAAATCACACATACTAAATTGAAAAAAAAGAAGGTTTGACATCAAGCGATTCTAGATTATATATTGTACGCCAAGAGCAATAGTGATTGACTACAAAAAAATAACGAAAATTAAAAAACGCACCTTGAATGAGATCAAGCATAGCAAGTTCATTTTCCGAACCATCAAACACGAGCACGAAATAGAGAGTAGCATAGTGTTTGTATACAAGCCGAGAATCCTGCAAACGATTGAAACACAGTAAGTAACAATAAGTCGCCAAAAAACTGTGTGATACACTAGATGTGAAATTCCATAACATCATAACGAAGAAGCCATTACCGGGCCAAACAATGAATCGATCTCCAGAAAATTGCTTACGTTCTCAGGTCTACTGCACAATACTGTAAACATAATGATAAAATCAGAAATCGCAGCTTCTAACGATCGTAACAAAGGCCAAATTTCAGTTTGATTCCAAGAAATTCAAAATAAATACAGCGCAAGTTCCATTGACCATCGAACGAGATCTTATGGAATATAAGATTGCGAAATTGTTCAGGAGTTGCGATTCGAAGATGCCGATGTGATTGTTGATTGGAATCTGGGAAAATTCAAGGATAGAATGAGATGATGAGAGAAAGATAAACCTGAAAATACGCCGCGGATGAGCTCTTGTTGCTTCTCTACAGGCTGAAACCAAATTTCCAAGTGAAAACTCAAGTTGAGAATCGGTCACAGTAGATCGAAGAAACCGAAATTTGAAATTATACATATCAAAATCATCGGACCAAGTAATCGTAGAATTTGGCTAGCCGTGGTTTGCCTTGTGTGTTCATCATCATCACGGCCTTTATCATTTTCTTCACCTCCTTCTTTCTCTCTTCCTCCGTCTCGCCGAAACTCTCCGAGACTCCGATCTCACATATTCAACTCCAGAAACCTTCTGTCTTGCTTAGAGGCTTTTCCAGTGAAACAAACAGACGTTTGCTGACGTCAAATGGGATCTTTCCACGTGTTATTAAATTCGAGTACCCTAATTTAGACGAATTTTGAAAGTTGAAAAATGAAAAAAACTGCGAAAGAGAATCGGCGCCGTCGCGAGGATTGGTCAAATCAATGGTTACTGATAATCACCGAGAAGATGGTGAAGAGGAGAAAATGCTTCTACTCAGCGAAAACGAAGTCGACGGTGCATCGGAGCTTCAGATGTATCGCATCCACTCGATCGAAGCAACGGTTCTGATTCGTCAGTTACCGTCGCAAGGAATCTCCTTCAAGCTCTGGCTTCCTGCAACCACTCTCGTTACGCTTCTCGATAACTACCGTCGTGACCCAAGCAGCAGCCCCCTCACTCGCACACTCTCTAATTTCAGATCCGACGGCTCAGACTCTTCACGGCTTAACATCGTCGAGCTCGGATCTGGAACAGGGATCGTCGGAATCGCGGCGGCTGCGACGCTAGGTGCTAATGTTACATTGACGGATCTCCCAAACGTCATCGAGAATCTCAAATTCAACGCCGACGCGAACGCTGAGGTCGTGGCTAGACTCGGCGGGAATATACACGTGGCGCCTCTCCGGTGGGGAGAAGCTGCTGACGTGGAGGCTTTGGGTCAAAGTGTTGACTTAATTCTTGCGTCTGACGTGGTCTACCACGAACATCTTTATGACCCTCTCCTTAAAACGCTGCGTTTTATGCTCTTAGAAGGAGATGATAAAGACGCAAAGAGAGTGTTGCTTATGGCTCATCTCAAGAGATGGAAGAAAGAATCGATCTTCTTCAAGAAAGCTCGGAAGTTTTTCGATGTTGAGGCTATACACCGTGATGATCCTCAAGAAGGTTCTCGAACTGGAGTTGTAGTTTATCGTTTTGTCAAATGTTGTTGACTAAAAAAAAACTCTGTTTCATCCAATTCGGAAGCTTGAAAAGATTATTCTTTTGTGTTTACTTAAACAATGGAAATGCTTTTTGTGATCCAATCAGATCGTTGAGAAAACAAGAAAACATTTTTAATATCTCCACTAATCCATTAGTGGAGCTTCGAACCCGTGACCTTTGTAAACAGAGCACTAATTAATCAATCAATTAGGTTGTATGTACTGAGAATGACGAAGTCTCGAGGAAAGAGAGAACGAAAGAAGAAATGACTTTAGGGCTGCTAAACGCGAATCCAGTTGTGCAGGCTAAGAAGGAACGTCTCGTTCGTACACAAGATCAATATAGAAATTGTGGCGTTGATCCTCTCGATATCTATGATATCCTTTCTTCTATTTCAGTCTGGTTCGATCAAATATACTCTTGATTTTTGCTCTTTTAGGGAGTTTTATATGTATATTTTGGATTCTTTGACGAAAATGGACAAAGTATGTAAGAGATATAAGAGATCCGGAACACCCTTATTCCTTGGAGCAGCTAAGTGTTCTGTCTGAAGATTCCATCATTGTCGACGACAAGCTCGATCGCATCCTGTGAGTTATATTAAACTTCATCCTTGGTTGTTTTATTGTTTAATCAATTTCTTGTTGTCCGACGGTGTAATACGAGTAGATTTTCAAAAGAAAGTTCTCTTTTTATAATGGATTTGTTATAGAAATTGGATCCAAATGTTCAAGGCCTTTCTGTGTTACTTATACGATCTTTAGCAATTGTGACTGAGAGCTTTTAACAAAAAATTTGGGTTTTGGCTGTGTGATAAACTCAGGATAACGTTTACACCGACGATCCAGCATTGTAGCATGGCAAATTTAATTGGTCTGTGTTTAAGAGCTAAGCTTAGAGAATGTTTGCCACTTCATTATAAGGTCATCTATGCTTTAAAAAAAATCTCTTCACTCTTTTCTGATTAAGACAAATTTTTTCAAAGCTTACATATAAAATGTGTTTGGTTGTCTCTGTTTCGTTTTACTCATATGCAGATTGATATCAAAGTCTCTCCTGGTTCTCACGCCGATGAAGATTCAGGTGAGTGAGTTCATAGAATATCCGCTAGACCGACATAGTTCCAGCTGCTTAAATCATATGCTTTCTATAAAGCTTAACAAGTGTGCAGAGCTTGCAGTAAAATCGATGATATTTGGAAAATTATAATACATGCTCCTATCTTTCAGCTTCTAATGTAACATCACTGCAAGATCTTGTTTTATATCTTTGTATTCGTCAGAAAGTTGATGTCTTTTGCTCTGAACTTTGATAAAATAGGGTCATTTATGCTGTTGCAGTGAATAAACAGTTGAATGATAAAGAAAGAGTGATAGCTGCATTGGAGAATCCTAATCTCCGCCAGCTCGTGGATGAGTGTATCGTCGTCTCCAGTGAGATGTAATCAGAGCATTTATTTCTACTTTCTTGTACAAATGTTACATACATTACATGCCTAAGAGACCGCTCTTGTCTCTTTTTGTATTCTAATGTCTCAAATACACATTTTGCGATGCTCAAAAGTTCTATACTGCTTGATAATGATACAAACCTTTTCTTTATGGTAACCGCAGCTTGAAGTTACCAGAACAATTAGAAAAGAACCTGTGAATGATCACAGGACTATCACGCATACTTGGATATTTAATATGTCATTTACTTGTAATTTGAATGTCATATGCTTAGCAAGTTACTGAGATTTTTAATGCATAGAGAAAACTCAGAAAAGGATTTGACAAGAGCCCTTCGATATTCTTCTTCAGAAAAGGGTTTGATTTCTTTTCTCTTTGTTTCAACCATTTTCTTGTTCAAATGAAATCTTTAGGTATTGGCAGAGTCACTACTTCGACTCTTCTTTGTTTTCTTAATTTAAACACTGCTTTGACTTATCTTGTGTTAACTAACAATGGTGTGGTTGTGTTCGAATTCGCCATTCGACGAAAGTAAAATATGGAGATAATGAGAATTTGTGAGATATCAAAGGGAGCATAAAGAGGGAGTAGGAAATTTTATTTTTTTGAAATTTAAATTAGTAGCTTTTCTGGGCTTAGTTTGCAATTTTGTTAGGCTTATATTGAAAACCCATCTAATCTGCCGGATAAGAGACAAAACCGTTAAAGGACGAAGTTAAAAACAAATTCAGTTGCTCACGGTTTAATCCGGTTCGTCTTAGAGAAAATAGAAGATCTCAATCCGGTGCGGTTCGGTTATATCGGCCCACCATAATATGTTGGAAATTATATCCGTGGAAGAAACAAACAAATATATCTCCAGAGTTGTTCACTTTTTAATTTATTTTTCTCCCAATCTCTCTCTCTCTCTCTCTCTCTCTCTCTCTCTCTCTCTCTCTCTCTGTTCTTGACGAATTCTCTCGATAAGTTTTCTTTAGCGATTTGTACAAGCCGGAAGTTCATGAGATTCCTAGATTAGTAAGTTTTTCGATTTCTCTAGTCTCTTCTAGATCGCGAATTTGTTTGTGTTCGTTCTTATCATGTTTAGGTTTTCGCGTGAAACTGACACAATCGGTTGGGTTTCTTCCTCCTCTTTGTGATTTTGTTTTTAGGGTTTCAAGTTTTCCGTTTAATTGGTTGAAATTTCACAAAAATCGTTTGTGTTCCTCTGTTTCTTAAGCATTGAATCGAACGAGGACGAACGCGTTTGATGTTTATAGGATTTTTGAATCAGGGTGTTTTCTCGATGTGTTTTCTTGATTCAACATCAAAGTTTCTTCTTTTAATAAAGAAGATTTGCTTTTGGTTTTGGTTTGATCAAACCCAATAAATTATTAGATAAAAGCTCGTCTTAGTTTTGTAGGATTTTGGGATCAGGATATTTTCTCGATTTGTTTTCTTGATTCAACAACAAAATGTCTTCTTTTAACAAGATTTGCTTTTTTTTGTTTGTTTTAGTTTTAACAATGCCAAAAGATTAGATAAACACTCGTCTTAGTTTTGTAAATCCCCAAAAAAGATCAAAAGGCAGACACTAATCTAATAGTGCTGTGCCAGATTCTAGTTTGGGTACATATTGTCCCGTTGCGTGATGGAACCGATGAGTTGGGTGGTAGTGCATGCTTAATCAAAGGCTTAAAAGTCCTATGGGCACTTTGTTGGATGGAATTGAAAAAACGACTGTGACTGTGACTGAAAAGAAAAAAGTCTTAAGGCAAAGACTGTGACTGAAAAGGCTTCCTTAATTTAGTAAGTACCAACGGCTTGAAAGTCTATGAAATTAAAATGGTACCCACGGCTTATGAAGGAACAATGTTGCTACCCACGGCTTATGAAAAGTGCTACCAACGGCTTACAAAAGAGTCTTTCGATATAACGACCGACGGTTTATGAAGAGCTTTAGACAATATTGCTTACCCACGGCTTAAAAGGTACTAAAGAAAACATATTCCATACTTGTTGTATGGAAAAAACTGCCCACGGCTTAGACAATGACTATGGTTCGGTTTCCAAGTTGTTGCACGGTAAATACGACCAGCGGCTTAAAGAAGTCTTAAGACAGAGACTAACCAAAATCTGATTCTTTACTATTACCATCACAAGGCTTTAAAATCCTTAGACAAAGGATGACCAACGGCTGAAAAGAGTTTAAGACAGACAATAAATCGAAAACAGACTCCTCACATCACCACAAGGCTTGGCAAAGTCTTTAGACAGAGAGTACAGTTCGGTTTTTGACTTGTTGGATGGGAAAAAAGGACCAACGGCTTAAAACAAATCTTAAGACAGAGACTATGAACCGAAAAATTGGTTCCTTATGTTACTACCAACGGCTTAAGAGAAGTTCTAGACTATGAATTGAGAACGAACCAACGGCTGAAAAGAGTTTAAGACGAAGACAATAAATCAAGATCACAGACTCCTCACTGCACCACAAGGGTTGGCAAAGTATTTAGCCAAAGAGTACCTTACGGCTTACAAAAAGCCTCTAGACAAAGGCTATAACTGTGTTGGATGGATTTAAGGACCTACGGCTTAAAAGTCTTAAGGACAAGGACAAGGCCTATGTATTTAAAAAGGTACCCACGGCTTATGAAGAGTCTTTAGGCAGAGACTGTGAGTGAAAAAAACGGATTCATTGCTAAATGCTACCCACACGGCTTATGAAAAGTGCTACCAACGGCTTACAAAAGAGTGTTTAGACAAAGGCTATGAATGCCTAATGAAGAGCTTTAGACAATATTGCTTTACCCACGGCTTGTGAATCGAAAACGGGATCATTTCTTGCTTACACACGGTTTATCAAGAGTCTTTAGACAGAGACTATGAATTGAAAAAGATTCCTTACTTCACACTAACCCACGGCTTATAAAAGGTCTTAAAGGCAAAGATTATATGACTTGACAACCCACGGCTTATCAAATCTTTAGACAAAGATTGCGAATTGTAACGTTTTTAGACAAAGACTGTGATGAATTGGATGGGAAAAATTGACCAACGGCTTAAAAGGTCCTAAAAGAAAACATATTCCATACTTCTTGTATGGAAAAAATTGCCCGCGGCTTAGAAAACTCTTTAGACAATGACTATGGTTCGGTTTCCAAGTTGTTGCACGGTAAATACGACCAGCGGACGGAGACTAACCAAAAACTGATTCTGTACAATTACCAAAATCCTTAGACAAGAACGACCAACGGCTGAACAAAGTTTAAGACGAAGTCTAAATCGAAAACAGAGTCCTCACTTCACCACAAGGCTTGCCAAAGCCTTTAGGCAAAGAGTTCAGTTCGGTTTTTTGCTTGTTGGATGGGAATAAAGACCATTGGCTTCAAACAAGTCTTAAGACAGAGACCTTGAACCGAAAAATTGGTTTCTTACGTTACTTACCAACGGCTTAAAAGAAGTTCTCAGATTAAGACTATGAATGGAGAACGAACCAACGGCTGAAAAGAGTTTACCACAAAGACAATAAATCAAAAACAGACTCCTCACTTCACCACAAGGCTTAGCAAAGTACAGGTCGGTTTTTTGCTTGTTGGATGGGAATAACGACCAACGGCCTAAAACAAGTCTTAAGACAGAGACTATGAACCGTAAAACTGGTTCCTTACGTTCCTCACTTTACTACCAACGGCTTAAAAGAAGTTCTCAGATAAAGACTATGAATGGAGAACAGGTTTCTCACTTTACTGCTTACGGCTTAGAAAAAGCTATGAGAATTGAAAAGTCTTTAGACAAAGACAAAGATTATCTTTCGATTTGTTGGATAGAGAAAAAAAATGATCAGTGTCACAGAGAAAGTCTAAAGAAAAAGACTTTCTTTACTTTACTATCCAGAGAGTAAAGATTCACAAGGTATGTATGAGTCATTTTATTAAGTAAAGACTAATTAATTCTGATTTCCTCAGGTATGTATGTGCTTTAGAGGAGATTTCAAGTGTAGCATATTTCTTTAACAGGTATGTGCTTTTTAAAACTTGTTTGTAAATCACATGGAAGACACAGACATGAAGTAAAAACTAATTTCATTTTTTTTCAGGTATGTGCTTCAAAAACTGTTCATATCCTCATTGACGCCAAGGATTAGTTCAGGTATATGCTTTTCTTGACTTTTTCTCTCTTATAAATTGATATTATTACATATAAAAATTGACAAGCTGAGTTCAGTGATATAGGTGTAAAGTAACGAAATTGTAAATGAAGATCTAGGCTCCAAGTATAGCTAAAAAAGTTCTTTTAGTCTGTTTTAACAAAAATGCTAACATATTCATTGATGAACAGGTAGATTTTATATTTTTGAGTGTATTTACAGTGTTGGTAATCTCTATTATCTCTAGTTTTGTGCTTGTATGTATTATATTATAAGGTCTCTCATTTTATGAAATGGATGTATCTTGGAGTCTCTTGTAGATCAACGTAGGTGAGAGACTCCTGCAGATTGTGGTAGTAGTTTCTTTGAATCTTGAATGTTTCTGTTATGTGTTATGGTCATAATTCTGCATATACGTTGATGATTGCTGTGTTAGATTCTATAATTTGCATCTGCTGACTTGAGTTTTTACAATAACAGTGATTGAAAGTTCTTCTGTTATACTACTTGTGTCTATCGTTTGGTCTCTGAGTCTTGAAAACATTTCTCTTATTGATCTAGTATCCGTGAGATTGTAGAACCATATTGCTTAAAGCATACCCTTGACAATATTAAGTGATATATACTTAATAGAGAAGAAAATTAGACCATTTATGCATCATTTGGAATTAGAAATGTCTCTTAAATAACTATTTTGATATCATCACTAACTCTTGTTGATATATTATCTGTCAGATTCTAGAAACTGATTATCAATATATCCATTCATGAAAAGGTATATTATATTTTCTGGTATTGGAACATTAATTGTGGTTACAGTGTTAGTATTCTACTACTATCCTCTATCTTGGTTAGATAATATTTATTATTATTTTTTGTTTTTGTGCTTGTATGTATCATAATGTTTCTCAGTTTATGAAATAGATGGATATATCTTGGAGTCTCTTGTAGATTAACGAAACAGTGTTAGTAATCTCTATGTTTATTATAAAATTATTTGTTATTTTTAGTTCGGTGCTTGTAGCAATGTATTACAAGGTCTTTTGGAGTCTCTTGTAGATTAACGTATGTGAGAGAGTTCTGCAGATTGTGGTAATAGTTTCTTTGAGTGTTTATGTTTTGTGTTCTGATCCTAACCATCTGTGATCATTCGATACATGTGAAACTACATCTTCACAATTTTGAATTATACGCTGATGATTATTGTGTTGGATTCTATAGATTGTATCTTGACTTAAGTTTTTACAATAACAGTGATTGATTTTTTTTCTGTTATGGTACGTGTGTCTATCGCTTGGTCTCTGAATCTTGATAACATTTATCTAATTGATCTACTTCTCTAATTGTCTAGTTCTCTAATTGATCTAGTATCTGTGAGATTGTAGAAACTTATTGCTTTACGCAAATCCTTGTCAGCATTAAGTGATATATACTTAAAAGAAAGAAAATTAGACCATTTATGCATCATTTGGAATTAGAAATGTCTCTTAAATGTAAGTATTTTGATATCATTACTAACTCTTCTTGATTTAGTATAGGTAGGATTCTAGAAAGTGATTGCCAATATATCAATTCATGAAAATGTAGATGATATTTTCTGGTATTGAAACATTAATTGTGTTTACAGTGTTAGTATTCTCCATCTTGGTAGTAGTTTCCTTGCATCTTGAATGTTTATGTTTTCTGTTGATCATTCTAAACATGTGAAATGACAATGTTCACAATTCTGAAATTCTGCATCATATGCTGGTAGTTACGGTGTTTACATTCTACAAAATTGTTCGAGTTAAATTGAGTTGTTACAAATAACAGTGATTGAAAATAATCAAGATATATTTGTCACGCTACTAGTGTCTATCCCTTGGTCTCTTTGTTTTACAGAGTCGATGAAGCTTGGAAATCACTGGTGTAGTTGTTAGAATGTGCAATAAATCTTTCTTGATTCTATGATTGATGTCAAAATCAAGAAATTAGCAGTATCTAAAGTCCAATTGTAGGCATGTGGAATAAGTGCTTTGATGGTCTTCTCTTCTTTTTTTAGGTCGAGTAAATGCATTTCATGTTTGGTTATAAGAAGTGTAGATTTCTATAATAGGTGGTATGTAGACTTGGAATTTCTTGACTCGCTATTATAATGCAAGATGTTTATGTACATAATCTTGTTTTCTATTTGTTGTTAGGGAACTAAATCTATTGTATATTGATAAAGAGTAATGTTTTCTGTGTTAGATGAACACAGTTTCTTGCATTTTGGTTGGTTGTACTATCGTCTGTTGGTCATTTTTTGTTAAGACCGTTTTTTTATCTTGGCTTCCCTGATACAATATCGGATTATACCATCTTGACTTTTGGAATAGTTAGTGTTGCAAAATGATTAAGCTTAACTGGGAAACTATTTATTCTTGTTTGTTTATCCTAAATTATATACATCATTAAAGGTTGATAGGTATTCATTCATATGGAGGATAGTAGCTTTGATTGATTCCATGCGACTTAAATCTTTTCTTTAGGGCATATTCTTTCCGTTTCATAATGTTAGGCCACATCTCATTTAGGTACTTTTAATATTCAATTTCTTTTAAAAAAAAGTTATTAGTTGTGTGATCTATACAACTTAACATTATGTACGAAGGCTATGATTAAATAAAAATCGCATTATCTAATCTTATCTTAGGCCTCTGAAACTGTAGAAACGGCAGTGTAAAATATTATTTCACATAAGCTTTGAAGCGTTTTTAATGAGATTTTCTTTTGTCAACAAACATGGGCTTCATAGCTTATATACCAGAAGAACTAGAAAAGAACCTGTGACTACAGACTGCTACGCATACTTATTAAATACTTAATATGTCATTTACTTGTAATTTGTATGTTATAAATATATCAAATCCATACTAATTAAAAGGAGATTTGGTAGAATTCTGCAATTAAAAACCCTATCAAAGCCAATAATAGTGTGGTGAACAGTGGACCAATCTTGATATTGTGCCAACAAACTCTTTGGTTAAGTTGTAGAAGATAAACTTTTACAACCATAGATTTTGATTTCTGACATAAAAATCAGTCTGTACTTGTCCTGTCTGCATTAATCACTCACATATCATGTCCTGGTCTCTCAGATTTTTGTTTTATACTGTTATGGAGGCTACTTTGGTAGTTGGGGTAAACATTCAGTTGACCGTTTGTTTCTCTGACAAAGTCCTGCTAATTTATTCAACGAGTTAGTTGGTTTAACTTATTTTTTGTCATCTAGGGAATGGGCACAACATATGTTAGTTCTATAATCAATAACTACAAATGAAATTTCTCACTTAGCAAGTGACTGAAATTTTTTAATGCATAGAGAAAACTCAGAAAAGGATTTGACAAGAATAAATAAATTGCCTTTTAAGCATGATTGATAATGTGATATGATAGATCCATATATCTTGAATACGCAACAAACTTTCAAAGCATGATTGAGCATTTGAGATCATCATTATATATATACAAACAACAACAATAAATATTGACCTACTGTATCTTTGCTTCCGCATTAAAAACATAACTGATTGAAGATTTTTTTTTAGTATTCTTATATTCTTAGCATCATTTGCATTCACAAATAGAAGTTAGAAAAAGGAACTAATGAAATATGATTAACAAATGAGTGCGACTTTGCCTCCTTTCAATGCCCAATTTCTTGAAATTCTGGCTGTTCTGCATCCAAGTATTAAACAATCAATTCTTTACATAAATTAAAAAGCAAAAGACAGCTACATTTATTATGAGGAAAAAAGAAGAAGAAGCAAATTGATCAAAAACTCGTTTCACTTTTACCAAACCTGAATATAATCTGTCCATGTTTATAGATTCTTATTGCTTTCACTTCCAACGATAGATTTTGCTTCTTTTTATCCTCTGATTTCTCGGACCTTCTCCTATCAAAGCAAGGGGGGAAAAATATATTCTAATGGCAGCAGAGAAACCGAGCTCGAAGAGGCAAGCATGGTGAAAAAGACAAAACACATCCTTTCATCAGTCAAAAAAGATGTTCGTTCTGAAAACTCGTTAATCTTATTTTCTTATGCAGGTTTTGTACCACAGGCTTACCCAGTGACATCGAAATCGAAGTCGATGATATGACGTTTCATCTTCATAAGGTCTTGAGATTCACCATTTTCACTCAATCTTCAGAGTTTTCCCTAAAACTAAACTGAGATTTTGTGTTCCTTCAGCTTCCACTGATGTCCAAGAGCAGAAAACTTCATCAGCTGATAACAGAGCACAAGCAGAGACTAGAGGAGAGTGACAAAAATCGGAAACGCCATGAACAAGAAGAAGATAATAACGATTATCTTCACATTTGGCTCCAGAATTTCCCAGGAGGTTCGGAGACTTTCGAAATGGTGGTAAAGGTATGCTACGGCGTCAAAGTCGACCTCTCTGCTTCCACAGCTGTTTTACTCCGGTGCGCCGCCGAGGACCTGGAAATGACAGAAGAGCACTCACCAGATAACCTAATCTCAAAGACGGAGAGGTTTCTCTCACACTCCGTCTTCAATAGCATACAAGAATCCATCAAGGCGTTGAAAGCTTGCGAATCAGTCTCTCCTGTAGCCGAATCGATCGGTATAACGAAACAGTGCATAGAGTCAATCATCTCCGGAGCTTCATCAGCCGATCCTTCATTGTTCGGTTGGCCGATAAACAACGGAGGCTCGACGAAATCGGCCGATACAAAACGGAAGAAACAGAGCAAGGATTCGAAATTGGACCTGTGGTTGGAAGATCTGACGGAATTAAGCTTTCCGATCTTCAGACGTCTGATCGTAGCCATGAAATCAGGAGATCTGAGTCCCGATGTAGTAGAGAGCTCTCTGATTCGTTACGCGAAGAAGCATATTCCCGGAATCTCGTCGCGGTCATCATCTTCCTCAACGATAGCCTCCGAGAACTATCAAAGAGAATTGTTGGAGACGATAATCTCAGATCTTCCGTTAGATCACGCCTCCACAGCCGCGACGACGAGATCTCTCTTCGGATTGTTACGATCCGCCATCATCCTCAACGCCTCCGAGAGATGCCGGACGTTGCTGGAGAGAAAAATTGGATCGAAGCTGGAGAAAGCCACGATCGACGATCTGCTCATCCCAAGCTACTCGTATCTCAACGAGACGTTATACGATATTGATCTGGTGGAGAGACTCTTAGGGCATTTCCTCGAAATCGCTGACGTATCTTCATCGCCGACGGTGGTTGGGAAACTCATCGACGGAGTTCTGGGTGAAATCGCGTCGGACGCTAATCTCAAACCGGAAAATTTCTACAAGTTAGCGGTTTCGCTTCCTGATGAAGCAAGGCTATACGATGACGGACTCTACAGAGCCATCGATATATATCTCAAGGTGATGAACATACATATATAATTTTAAAAAAATATATACGAAAGATGGTGCTGCCCAGGATCGAACTGGAGACCTTTTGCGTGTAAGGCAAACGTGATAACCACTACACCACAGCACCTGATGTTATGTTATTGGGTTTTGTTTAAAAATAGGCACATCCATGGATGTTGGAAGCAGAGAAAGAGAAGATATGTAGCGTAATGGACTATCAAAAACTAACGCTTGAAGGTTGCACGCACGCCGCGCAAAACGAGCGTCTGCCGCTACGAGCCGTCGTGCAAGTCCTATTCTTCGAACAATTACAGCTCCGGCAAGCAATCGCAGGGACGTTAGTTCTAACGTCAGTGACGGAGGAAGAAGGAAACGTGGAGTTTGGGGTATGGGAGCAAACGGTGATGGAGAATCAGTTGCTTCGCTTGGATATGGATACGATGAGGACGCGTGTGTACCATTTAGAGAGAGAATGCTTGAGCTTGAAGAAAGTGATCGCGAAGATCGACAAGGTAAGTTCGTCGGAGGCTAACGATCGGGCAAGAAAGTGGTCATTCAGCAAGAATTTCGGATGCAAATTCAAGGCACAGGTCTGTGATTCGCATGAGGCAACGATGGTCGATCGAAGATGTCAACGGTAATATTTATAGCATATACGTATTCAGAACATATTGTGCTTTTTAATTTGTATTTGTGTGTATCATAGTATATTTTTACAGAAGATTGATAACTTTAGAAAGGGGGAAACGTATACTTTTTTATTCAACGTAATTTATGCTTTTTGTCAATCATTTTTTACAATGAATTGTATTTTTTGTTTTTTTGTCAATCATTTGTTTTTAACGTTTTTCAATCATTTGTTTATTTGTTTTCGGCTTATCTCTAAAATAATTGAGGATATACCCAACGGAATCGGTCAACCGGAAGGTAATTCTGACACGTGGCGATTTTACCTATCTCCCTGGTATATTATCCAATCAAAAGAGGACACGTCAGTTTAACACAATTGGTCAGCGGCGGTAAACTAGCGAACAATTGAGGGAGAAAAGAACAAAAAGCTAATTTGCAAAAGAGCAGCGAAGCGTGAGAAGACAAATCCTACTGGATAATAGGCTGAACCCAGCTGGAGGAATAATTTTTCTTATAAAAGAGAAATAAAAATAACCTCAAAAATCATTAATTGTCTTTTTGAAACGAATATCGATTATCGTTTTTGATTTCGGCTGAGGGAAAGAAGAAAAAAAGAAAGAGCAATAATAATGGGGCGTGTGGATTATCTGGCGATGAAGACCGACGTCGACACGGTTGCCCTCGTCAATTCCGACGTGGAGGAGCTCAAGATCGCCGCGAAGAAACTGGTCAGCGATATCTCGAAGCTCGGTGGATTAGGCTTTGGTGTTTCCTTCGTCAAATGGATGGCTTCTTTCGCTGCCATGTGAGTTTCTCAATTTACCAAAAATTAAAATAAAAAATTCAACGCACCCATCTCTGATTTTGCTTGTCGTCGAATTTTTTGTTTTGTGAACGATTTAATTTTGCGTGTGGGGTTGTATACGTTGGGTCAATTTGAAATTGAGAAAGTTGATATCGAGATTATTGATTAGAAGGTCTGTGCAAGTGAATCTGATTGATCTTTCAGCAACGATTTGTTTACTCTGTTATTGAGATTTCGATATGACCCCAGGAATCCAAGAAAATTCAATCTTACTGTTTCTGTCTACTGCACAGATTAAGAAAAAAAAAGTGATTAAGAGAGGTTAAGTTTCCATTTGCAGTAACCCCCAACTGTTTCAAACTGTATTATTTCCTCTTCCATTTTTCGTGCCCGTCTCTAGAAATATTTAATCACAAACATGGAAAAATGGTCTCTTCTACTTCTAACTTTTGCTGCAATTTTTTTTTTTTTTTAACTCGTGTAATGCAGTTACTTGTTGATATTGGATCGTACCAATTGGAGAACCAAGATGCTTACATCGCTCCTTATACCATACATCTTCCTTACCCTTCCTGGTGTGATTTTTAACTTTCTCAGGTAAACAATCTTTGTCAAAATAAAATCTTTCATATTTTTATAACCTTTAAGTCTATAAATGAAAGTTTCACTTTCTGTTAATCAGTGGAGACGTTGGGAAATGGATCGCTTTCGTCGCAGTTGTACTCAGACTTTTCTTCCCAAAGCATTTCCCAGGTGATTGATGAGATCTCGTATCTATCTTTTCTCCTCTTTCTACACATTCTTCGTTTGTGTATTTGTATGTTGTTCATTGCTAATATCTGAAACTAAAGTCTCACACTTTTTTTTCTTTTGTTGCAGATTGGCTTGAGCTGCCTGGTTCTCTGATCCTCCTGCTCGTAGTGTCTCCGCACTTTCTTGTTCACCACATACGCGGGACGTGGATCGGATCTGTCATAAGCCTTTTCATTGGATGTTACCTTCTTCAAGAACATATCAGAGTATCGGGTGGGTTCAGGAACTCGTTCACGCAGCCACGTGGAGTATCAAACACTGTTGGGATCATCCTTCTTTTGGTCTACCCTGTTTGGGCTCTTATCATTCGTGTCGCGTAAAAATCCACACATCGATCCTTTCTTCCATCACCAAGTTGTGTTCTTCTTGCTCAAATAAAAACTTCGTGCCAAGAAAAAATCGGAAAATCTTTGGTGTTTGTGTCTTCTGGTTCTGTTACATACTACCCATATACTACTACTACTGCGTCAAGCTCAATCAATGTTCCATATGTAAGAAAAGAATCTCATTTTTTTTATTTACAACTATTTGTTTGTTCTGAAAATTTGTTTCCGAGTAAATTGATTTATGGATGCCGTTTCGTATATTCAGCCGTGGAATGTATGTCGTTTTGGTATAGATAGAGAAGAATGAACTACACGCTGTTTCAGACTTAAAAACTAGTCTTCGTGTCGTTTGTAATACTGTAAGGAAATCAATAATTATGAATTTGCACGTGCGGAATGAGTGGCGTTTTGGATTCGAAAAAAAGAGGAGAACTACACGCCGTTTAAACTTTGTAACTAGACTTCATGTCGTTTATATGTTAGGGGACTTTCAAAAACCCTAAACCTAGCTCGACCTCTATATAAATACTCCACTTTCCGCCGATTATAATCAAAAGTCTTCTCCGATCTCAGAGTTCAAACCAAAATTGAATCTCAGGCTCTTGGAACTTCTTTAGATGTCTCTATATTGCTTGATTGATTTTCACTGATTAGGTTGTTCTCTTGTTCTTGTCGACCTTTAGGCTCTGTTTTCAATCTAGTATCTCTTTCTATCGCTTTGAATTTTCTCTTTTGTTTTAGTTTTCTTGGATTTACGGTAAAGGGTTTCTCAGTGATGAACAACAATAGATGACGAGTCCGATGAATCCATTCTTTAAATCATGGGGACAAACGAGGCATTTGTCTGAGAGGAATCCTTTTTTTCGATCAATCTGTTTGATTTTTTTTTTTTGGTTCGAAACGTTTTGAAAGATTTTGATTTTGTGATAAATGTATAGAATAAGAACAAGAAAAGGCATGATGAGGATTGTTTATTGTCATCTGATTTGTGACGAATCAATACCTCCTACTCATTCTGAGTGCCTTTCTGATATCTGTTATCTCTTTTCTATGGTTTTGTTTTTTCTCTTGTATTTTAATTTTCTTGAATTTCTTAGTTAGGAAAAGTGTTTCTCAGTGATGAACAACCATAGATGACGAGTCCGATGAATCCATTCTTTAAATCATGGGGACAAACGAGGCATTTGTCTGAGAGGAATTCTTTTTTTTGGTCCAATATTTCATAATTTCTGTAAAACGTTTTCGAAAATTTTGATTCTTGTATTGAAAGAACAAGAAATTGAGTAGGCATGATGAGGATTGTTTTATTGTCATCTGATTCATGATGAATCAATACCTCCTACTCATTCTGAGTGCCTCACTATTTCTTAGTTTTGTTTATTAATCGTTATCGTTTTAATATTTGAATATTCTTAGCTAGTAAAACACAATACAAAATTGGTTCTTTACACTTCGATTCGAAAATTCCTGAATTGTGTTTATATTATTACCTCTAAACCCAGAGGCTGGTTAAAACATTAGTACTGAAATTGGTTTAGTTAAAGAACATAAAAGTCCTTCGATCGTTAATGGAACAATATAAACGTCTATTCCAGTTGGATGATGGTATTTGAATCTTTTGATCAGAAATTAGTAAAACCGAGATAATATCATTGTACAGGACAAGAATTATCTATTCGGTATATGACAATTTGGGTTAAGGACGTTAATTTTGAGCCCAAAGAAATAATGATCTTAGGTCCAGGACACGTTGAATTTGAGCCCAAAGAAAAAATTATATTTTACCGGACTTGCGAATTTTTGACTAAAGGATTCTATATGGGTAAATAGGGTGGAGGGTTCGAACAGCTTCGAAAGAAAATAATGATTTTTCGTAAGAACGAACCACGTCACTATTACAGATTGAGACAGTATCTATACTTCCACATCAGCGTTTGACAGGTGGCAACCAAACATCCATATACTCAAACAATCCAATGAAAAAATTCGAACTTATCCGACCTTATCTTGTAGCGAAAAATCTCTCTCCTCCGATTATTACTTCTCTCAGCTTCGCATCATCATCACTCGGACAAGCACAAACATCTGAGACTTGTCGTCATGGCAACTTCTCTCCAAGCCGCAGCAACTTTTATTCAGCCGGCGAAAATCGCCGCTTCTCCTTCTCGCAACGTCCATCTCCGATCAAACCAATCCGTTGGCAAGTCCTTTGGGCTTGACTCTTCAGCTGCTAGACTCACTTGCTCCCTCCAGACTGAGTTCAAAGACTTCGCCGGAAAATGCTCCGATGCCGCCAAAATCGCCGGTTTCGCTCTCGCCACCTCTGCTCTTGTCGTCTCGGTATTACTTCATATTCTCATTAAACACACAAACTTATTGACAACTTATAGGCCTTTGTGTTTCTTGAAAGAACGAAAATATGAAGTCTTTGATCTATATTCCACAATCATATTCATGATGGAATCTAGTGAAAGTAGAACGAAAATTGAAAGCTCGACAAATACATTCGTTATCAATTAATTTCGATGATTCTACTTTGTAGGAGACTGAAAAAAAAGTAGATTAAATCGTATATTTATTTGATTTTGAAAATTTAGTGAAAATTTATATATGTTTGGGGGGGAAATGAAGGGGGCAAGTGCGGAGGGAGCACCAAAGAGGCTAACGTACGACGAGATACAGAGCAAGACCTACATGGAGGTTAAGGGCACCGGCACGGCGAACCAGTGTCCGACTATCGACGGTGGATCCGAGACGTTCTCATTCAAGCCTGGTAAGTACACTGGCAAGAAATTCTGCTTCGAGCCTACTTCCTTCACCGTCAAGGCAGATAGCGTCAGCAAGAATGCCCCGCCGGATTTCCAAAACACTAAGCTCATGACCCGTCTCACTTACACACTCGACGAGATCGAAGGACCTTTCGAGGTTCGTCGTCAAACACTTAATCTAATATCAATTTCCAGATGTTGCTTCCATCGCAAGAAATAGACAAGTCAAACTTTAATTGTTCATAAAACAGGTTAGTTCAGATGGAAGCGTGAAGTTCAAGGAAGAAGATGGGATCGATTACGCGGCAGTGACAGTCCAGCTTCCGGGAGGAGAACGTGTACCGTTCCTCTTCACGGTTAAGCAGCTCGAGGCTTCGGGCAAACCGGACAGCTTCAGTGGCAAATTCTTGGTTCCTTCGTACCGTGGCTCGTCTTTCTTGGACCCTAAGGGTCGTGGTGGATCCACTGGATACGATAATGCAGTGGCTTTGCCAGCCGGAGGCAGAGGAGACGAGGAAGAGTTGTCGAAGGAAAACGTCAAGAACACGGCCGCTTCTGTCGGAGAGATCACGTTGAAGATCACAAAGAGCAAGCCGGAGACAGGGGAAGTGATCGGAGTATTCGAGAGTCTTCAGCCGTCGGATACTGACTTGGGTGCTAAGGTACCAAAGGATGTGAAGATCCAAGGGGTTTGGTATGGTCAGCTTGAGTGATGATTCTAATTCAAAACTCTTGTCAAAACCTCTTCTTTATGTTAATGAAAATGCCCAATAAATAAATTACATATTATATCGATAAATAATTTGAGAAATTAAGCTTCAGTTCAATTTTCTAGCTACACGAAAGTTTAATGAACCGTAACAAATGGAACATGGATTGGAGCGGGACGAAGATTGTCAGTTACGTATTGTTGTTAGGAATTAAAAAAATGTGTTGTGTCAGTTTTTTTTTTCTTCATTAATTTGTATAAATATGATTAGGTGAATTAGAGTTTGGTGTGATGGTATGTTTCAGTATTATAGATGAGAGTATAGTGGAATTATTTTGCTTTTTTCTTCTAATAATTAATACGAAGTTGACTAAGTTTTTATTTGATAATAATGTGGTCGGACTACGTTTGTTGATAGGAACCAGCGCATAGAGGCATAGGGTGTCATTTTTGGTTAATTACACCTATATTTTTTGAAAATGGAAAGTTTTAAATTTAGCAGTTACGAGAAATACAGTCCGACAAAAAAAAAAGGTTTGGTCATATGACAACACAACTATACCAGTTTGTTTCCATCTGTTGCTTTGATAATTATTGCTTTCGAATATAATCACGATTCCTTTCTAATTCTCAAAACGGATCAACATAAATCATAATATGTGTACATAACATTATCGTTGTCGTTATAATTTGGTAAGATAAACCAAATTCATCCTTTCCATTTGCAATTTATTTCCTGGTTAAAAAAAAAGCCGAAATAAAATAAATCAAATTTTCATATTTTTTTAAAAAGTGTATATAATAATAACTTTTAGTTTATGAAGTAATTTAATCGTAAACAGCAGATCAAAAAGAGAATAATAAAGAGGAAACAAGTCCTATTGGCGTCAGTCACAGGTATGAAAAGCTTGGCCCAGCTTTTTCTCTTTCTTTTGTGTTTCGGTTTTTCCTTCTTTCTCCTCTACCGACGATTTCACCGGAATAAAGAAATGAGTTGAATTTTTTGCTTCTTCTTCTTCATCGGATGATGAAGAGAAGACACAGAAGGCGGGAAATCGAATGGAGCATGTGCCGGGATCGTTCGGCACCAGCGCCAGTTTCGCTCTCCGTTTCGGCCAAACCATTTTCTCTTCCGCTTCTCTCATCTTCATGTGCATGGATTACGATTTCTATGACTTCACTACCTTCTGGTAATTTCCCCCTGATTAATTATTTGTTCGATTTTTGAGTATTGCTCTGCGGCTTTCTGGGTTTCTGGAATTTTCTCCGGAGCTGGAATCGATGGAAAGATGAATCTGAAAAGCAAAAGGAGGGAAATTCGGAAAAAGGGTTTCTTGTTATTCGTTTTGATTAAATTACCCATTTGCTGAAATTCTGAATTTTGATCAAACATTTGAGGATTTTTGGTTTGGTCTCTGTTTGTGGTTTTGATCAAATTGATGTTTTGTAGTTTTGATCAAATTAATGTTTTGTAGTTTTGATCAAATTGATGTTTTGTTGTTTTGATCAAAACCCACACTGAGGATTTAGGTTTGGTCCGTCCCATGATTTCTAAAATTTTTGATTTGGGTGGAGAGAAATGAATCAAACAAACATAGTTTAAAGCTTATATTTGAATTTGCATATTCATAAGGATTTTGATTCAAAAGTCTGTCTTTTATCTCTCTTGTTAAAAGCTATTTGACGACTGTGATGGCTTTTGTAACACCATGGAGCATCTCACTCGCACTTACCGACACATACTCTGTCTTACTCAAACAACTTCCTCATGAAGCAAGAGTTGTGTCCATGGTTGTCGCCGGTGATTTCGTAAGAGTGTTTCTTAAATCTTTGCTTAAAACAAGTTTCTTTCTTATCGTTCGTTAATCAAATTTTGATCTCTCTCTCTCTCTCTCTGTATTGTATTCTTCAGATACTGTCGTTTCTTTCTTTGGGTGGGGCTTGTGGTGTAGCCAGTGCAACGGAGCTGCTTTCGTCTATTGGTGCACCGATCTGCGGAGATAGCCAATGTAGTCAATACCAAGTCTCGGCTACATTGGCCTTCTTGTGTTGGTTTCTCTTACTTTCTTCAGCTCTTTTCAATCTTTGGAGTTTACCTTCGTTATTCTACTGACATGGCTTATGGCTTATCTCTATATATATATATAGATAGATAGGACTCATAAGTAATAAACCATAGGACATGAATGTACATTTTATTTACACTATAACTTGTCCCTTTAATGTTATCATTGTGAAATCAATTTTTACCACTTTATATTACATACTATGAAGGTTAGAGAGCTCTGCTGACCGAAAACGGAAGCTTTCCAATTTTTTTAAAAAGGAAAAAAATTGTTTTGATTTAGAAGTAAAAGAAGTACAAATCCTAATACTCTCTCGACAACTCTAATTTTACTCTATAAAAGGGTAAAAAGCAGAAGACAGACTATCCCAATATATAAGACCGCAACTAAAAATCAAAATTTTGGTTAAGAAGAGAAAACCCTAAATAATGAGGGAGAGTATGAAAGAAACTCTTGAAGTTGAGAGGTGCATCAGAAGGTTTCCATGGCTAATTCAGATGGTGAAATCGAGACAATTCCATAAATGTTGCGATCAGCACGTGGGGAAACTGCGAAGTTACTTCTGTTGCGATTGCATGATTCCTCCTTTCTGCCCTAGCTGCCTACAAAAAAACAATCACGAAGACCACCTTACGATTCAAGTAAACAATCTTTTTCGCTAGTTATTATTTTAATCGAAGAACTTCTTTAATTTCTTATTATTCGTTGATGTAAACAATAAACTTTCGGTCCCTTTTTGACATGAGAACAAGCTTTAATCATGAATATTTGGGTTTGAAATTGATGCAGGCATTTAGATGTTCGAATGAGTCAGGAGTAAACAAGGAGACGATATCAAAATACATGGACACGTCGGGAATACAACCATATGTAATAAACAGGAATATAATCGTTTATTTTAATCAGAGACGTGGGGATGATGATCCTCGTTCTAGAAACAATAGTGTTTCGCGTAGATGCAAAGTCTGTGAATGGGATCTTGTTCATACTGCTGCCTTGTTCTGTTCCGTAGAATGCAAGGTACATTATTGTGGTTATTCTATTTCTGATTTGTGTTTTCTTTTTACAATTTTTGGGCTTTTGTAAATCTAACAGTACACTAAATAATTGTAAATATATGATGACAGTTTAGGAACGCTCTTGGATCACAACTGAATGAGCTTATGGAGAATTCGTCAGAAGATGTTATGGAGAATTCGTTATATGATGTTGTTGAGCCTATCGTGAAGACAAAACGTAGGAGGAAAGGGATTCCATATAGATCTCCATTCTACTAGGATTTACATTCCTAAACGATTTTCTTATATCGTTTATTAGGGTTAAGGTTTCATATAGCTGAGGTTTAAACATGTGTACATGCATGTTGGACTCGACAAATGATATTTTTCTTATGAAGTATAGAATTGTTATTTTTTAAAAAGTCATTTTTGGATCGTGTAATCATCTTAGTAATTCTTAAAGAAAACAAACTGACAAACTAAGGTTACACAAAAGAATTGGAATTGGTTTAATATTATCCCATTTATTAAGATCGGGTTCAAATTCAATTACGACACGACATTAGCTAAATAAGTTGGATCAATACCGATTCCTTTCAATTCAATAGATTTTACTAGGTGATACGATCTTCCAACATCTTGCACTCTAAAGTTGGTAGGAATAATACTTTAATCCAATGGAAGTAGAAACTCCAAATGAAAAGATGGTGAAACTTTAGATTATGTGCAATGGAATTTCTTAGGTAAAGTATCTTAATATTATTAAAAAAAGGAAAATAAAAAATTAGAAGAAATATGAGAGAGAAAGTTTTAAAATCTCTCAAATAAGAGCTGATTTTAACCTTTTAAGAGATTCACTTATACAATTGTCTTGTTTTGATTGACATAATTTTCTTTAAATATTAAAATTTAATTATATATCTTAAATTATAATAAAATAATTGTTAAGATATCTGTTTTAAGAATTCAACCATTGTGGATGCTTTTAGAAAGGTGATGCAAGTAGCTTTAATAGTGAGTATATGAAACTCACCACCTGATACTAACTTATACCGCAAACAACTAACTTCAGTTGGTAGAATGGCCATACAAGTGTGATGATATCTGACGAATTCAGTTTTGGACATCACTATGTTGCTTTGGGATATCGATGTCCAAAAAGAAAATGAGTAGGCAAAGGGCCAAACTCGTGGTCAAAGCAATAACTAAAGAAAGACTGAATAAAAACTAAGTTTGAATGACTTTTGAGCTTCAAAGTGACTCTTGAAATAGTCTGATTTTTGGATTGCCTAGAGGATTGAAGTGGTCGAACTGAAAAACTGAAGTGTTCGAATTAGTGCTGTAGGAAGCAGTTTCATTATTTGCTGATTTGGGCTTACTAACTTTGTGATCCATTTGCCTCATTAAAACCTTTTCTGGAAAACTCATAGGGACAAAACCAAATATAAAGAAAAAGAGTACAAATAATCACAAACCCATTAGACCTCTTCTTGGACTTAGATCATCATCAGGACTTCTGAGTTGAGTCTTTTTCATTCCAGAATATTTGGTTAAGTAAACATCCAATTTCTTGCATGAATCTCTTAGCTTTAGCACGAGTCAAAGGTCCAACCGCTGATACAAGCATTGTATCCACAGGTTCAAGCTCAATTTTCACATGTTTTTCCTGGTTGTCTTTCATGATCACATCACTAGGGTAGTTATGAAAATTAACCTAGTAAATAATTCCTAGCTTTGCTTTATCCTTTCTTGATTCTTATAATATCTGACGAATTCAGTTTTGGACATCGCTATGTTGCTTTGGGATATCTACGCATTAGAAGCTATAATTCAATTTGTTGAATCAGTCGCTTTGTGAAATTATGTGTTCTTAATGGGGTTGATCGTCATTTGTTTGCTTTGTGAAATTATGTGTTCTTAATGGGGTTGATCGTCATGTGTTCTTAATGGGGTTGATCGTTATTCATGAATGATTTGTTTCTTCTACATTGTCCCATTTTGAACAAAGGCAAAGTTTATTTTCTGTAGTGCTGTGACCGTCATTTGTTTGCTTTGCTTGGTCCTAGTCAAATCATCAAGAATATAGAACATAAGATAACATTTTCAAAAATTGTTCAAAAAATAATAATAATAACATTTTCAGTTGGCAAATTAGTACTGCCTAATTGTTGGCTTTTCGTTACATCATATTGAAGTAATTACAAATTAGTACTGCCTATTTGTTTGCAAATAATCTTATTCGGTTTTATGCTCTTAAGCTGGTTTGATCCATCTTGTCTTCATCATTATTTACAGTAGAAATCATTCACTCAGATTGTTATGCTTTGGTGGTCTAAAATGTTTGGCTTCTAATTCTAATGATCCCTTCGTACAAGGAAACGGAGGAGTCTTGCTCGATCACTCCACATTTTGTTTTCTTATACTGTTTTATGCGGGTTTGATCAATCTCTATGTCTTAATCATTATTCCATTGCTCTTTCCAGTTTCTATTTTGTACTGCTTCATTGATTGATCTATTCCATCCACTTGATTGATTGTAAAGATTGTTATGCTTTGGTGGCCTAAATGTTTGGTTCTTATAGGGTGCAATTCAAATCGCACCTGGTCATTATCCTAGGATATATATATATATATACACACATATTTTTTGCAGTTCAAGTAGACTGAAAATCCTAAGACTTCCAACGTGCCATCCAATACCACCCAACACATTACTCCAAGCCGCTGTGAAACTTGCATTGCTTGAAGAACTCGACATTTCACACAGCTCATTTGCAGAAGAACCTCTGAAAGTCTCTTCCGAATCTGAAGACATTCAAGCTAAATTCTCCCACCATCTCCTATGATAGATGATAAGTTCGCCATAGCAATCGCATAAAGCATGCCCGAGCTTTATGGGAACTATAGTATAACCAACACTAGCTTGGAAGTCATTCTTGACACTCGCTTGTCCTCACCTGGAGGCTGGAACACCTCGATTTACGTGAGTGTGACGGCATTAACCTTCTTGGGGACCTCGAGAAACGATGTTCTGAGAGGATTAGAGTTTTGAAATGCCCCGGTGACCCAATCGATGATTTACGTTTGAAATGCCTAGTGGAAGAAGCTGATGCTGAATATATGTCATGTGTGTGGTAGGATTTCAAGACTTTATAGGACGTTTCTTGAAAGGACTTTGTGAAGGAGTTACATGTTAATGTTGAATGTTCGTGACCTTGAACCATTATCACCTAGTTACAAGTCGACCATCTAAAGAAATATTAAAAATTGTCATGAATAAATTATATCGTCTTTCTGCATGCGATTGAGTAATTAAATAAGTTCGTTTGTGTTGTGTCTTTATATATTGAAACATGTAATAACAACATAAACAATATTATATTCGCTTCTTGAGCAAACAAATTTCCAACTCTATTGGCGTGGGACAGCATATAACATTCCAGAATCCAGAGAGAATTGTACCTCTTGAACACTCAATTCATATATAATATTAATGATACTGATTCCATTCTATTTTTTGTGTATCCAATTAATCTCAAATCTTTCCTTATCTTACCAATATTCATCCATCAAGTATCAGGAGATCATAGGTTTTGTACGCGTGTGTATATTCTTGACGATGAAGATTTTGCAAGTTCGTGTTGTTCCCAGGATTTATATGCTATCATTTTTTTTGTATCCAATATCACATGTTTACTTAACCATATAATTAATATTACTTGAAATTCAGAGCCAATATTAATGTTTATATGCCATATACAAGAATACTACTAAGTGATTATTCTATATCATATAAAGGTTAAATAAATCAACTTTTATAATCAGAAGAATTCAAATCAAGTGTCTCGAACTAATCAAAATTTATAATAACGTGTACAACAATGAATTATAACCAGAATTGTAGTGAAAAAATATGTCAATTCGATTTTTAAAAAACATCGTGATGATGATATAATGCCATAGTTTTTATGGTCTGCCTGATTCTGTTCCATTAAATTGTAGTACAAAACAAAGATTATTGTAATGTTTTTATGATGAATCGGGACTAGTTCTTCCTCATCCATATGTAAAGAACAGAAGAAATCGAACAAAATCGCTTTTATTATCTTTCAATTATCATACGCACAAACTTAAAAATAGAGCTCGGCGGATACGTGGGTGATCCTAATCCCAGACAACATATCAAAAACATAATATACTATATTTTCTAATTGTAAACAATAATGTTAGTTTAGCTAAAATAGTTTTTTTATAAGGATAAAAAGTATAAAGTGGTAGGGAATAATAGAGGTGCATTGCTTTAAACTTCATATAATTGAAGCCTATATATGGATTTTTGTATTGTGGTTGGTTCCACAAGTATCCGACTTTTAGATACTACAAAATAATTTATTTTTTAAAAAGTTTAACGGAAAGCAATATTCTTCAACAATTGATCCTAATTAAAATATTAAAAATGTAACATTGTACTTATGTTATAATTATAACAACACCAAGAAAATTCGATGCAGCGTTGTGGACCGTAATACTGTCTGTATAGACAGACAGACAATAATTTGGAGTTGAATTACATTATTGATGCACGTTCATACGGAAATTAAATTAAACTATTAATGTGATGCACGTACATAGAGTTTTAAAGACCCGAATCTCTCGTTAGGTGACCCATGAAACCGAATGTATCTAAATGGGACCCGACCCGACCCAGTTGGGCCCCTGCCCATAAGCTTAAGTCTCTGTTGCATTCACGTGATTGCTCCATAACCCGAGCTTCGTGCACCCCATCCGCCGAAGAATAAACCTCCGGCCACCTAAGGTTGTCGCTCCTTGCTCTGATTTTGTTTCCACTCTCTTAAGTTTTGCCACGTGGACTCTTTACTCCTTTCTTCTCTCCTTCTTCGCCACGTTTCCTTCTCTTTCTTTCCCTAAATACCCCTGACTTTTCCTCATAATTAAGGCCACTTAAGTTCAATAAGAGGGGTGTGTTTGTGAATTCGTTCGGACAATAAGATTACGTGAGCTGTCGTGTCTGATTTTGCTCACTAAACGACAAAAATCTAACGTTGCTTGAAGTTTCCGAACACGAGGCTTCATTTCGCTAACTCATTGTGTATATAAAACCCCCACGAGGTTCGTATCTTCTTGAAAACACAGAACGAGATCTTCTCTATCTCTATCTACAAGCCTTTTCAAAACTCACGAGTGAACACACAAAAGGATACTAAAAAATGGGAGCTTGCGGTTCAAGTGAATCTCGGAGAACAGAGACGGCGAAGCTGATATTACCAGACGGAACGTTACAGGAGTTTTCATCGCCGGTGAAAGTGTGGCAGATTCTTCAGAAGAATCCCACGAGCTTTGTTTGTAACTCCGACGATATGGACTTCGACGACGCTGTTTTAGCCGTCGGTGGCAGTGAGGATCTCCGGCCAGGAGAGCTTTACTTCGTTTTGCCGTTGACATGGCTGAATCATCCATTAAGAGCAGAGCAAATGGCGGCTTTGGCGGTTAAAGCAAGCTCTGCTCTTACAAAAAGCGGTTGGAGTTGCGGCGATGAAGGTGAAGCGAGAAAAGTTTCTGGCGGTGATTGCAGACTTAAGAGAGTGAAGAGAAATGGTTGCGGCGGAAGAGGCTGCGGTGGTGGTAAAGGGAGGAGGAAGTTTACGGCGGAGTTGAGTTCAATAGCGGAGTAGGGGTAATTTGGTCAGACAATGTGTAAATTGTAATGTAGAAAGTTTGACTTCTTTTTATTTTAAAAGATATGTATATCCAATTTTTAATAGTTTCTATATGGAAATGGAGAAATTGAGACTTCAATCACGAGGATGAAGTGATGCAAAGCTTGATAAATTGCAGTTGCATACAGTTCAAAAAGAATACATGACAACAAAATTAGCAATTGCAATTGGGTTAAAAGTCAATCCTCTCTGGCTTTTCTTGGTCAACACCGCGTGAACGTGATGGTCTGCTTAGCATAATTACGCTTTTACCCATGAGTTCGTTAATTTATCGTTACTTTGATGAAACGACACCGTTCTGCTGCAATACCATACGAGACCCATATACAAGTCTAGTCTTACTGGGCTGACTGGTATGGACCACTTTTGTTATGGACCACTTTTTGCAGTTCAGGGCCCAAATTTTGTTAGGGACCATAATATGCGCCACCAGGGTTAAAAAATGATAAATCGTTGTAACTAAGGTTAATGTTTGTATGAACAAATTATTCAGGGGGTTAATTGCAAATTAGTTTTAGATTTCCCGACCACAGAAATGTTGCCTTGCTTAGGCAGTTAAGGCGTAGCCATTTCCTTTCGGTGGAGAGCAATGGCGAGACTCGCCTTTGCCTCATCGCCGCCGATAACCTCAGTTCGTACTCTCCGCCGCCATTTCTCCATTTTCTCCGCCGTAAATCCGAAAACCTCCGAAATGCCCAGCAGCCACCACAGCTCTCTCGAAGTTATCGGCGGCGGAACCGATCGTTTCCTACCAGCTCTGAAAGAATCACTCGCCAAAGCCTACAATGCGTTTCCTCTAATCGGATTTAACCGCCACGCGGAGACCATCTACGCCGCTTTCTTCCGCTCTGTTCCTTCCGTCAGGCTCCGCCGCGAGTGCCTCCGCACGAAAGACAACGGCTCCATCGCTCTCGATTGGGTCGCCGGAGACGATAATTACCTTCCTCCCGAATCTCCGATCCTCATCCTCTTGGTACAACTCTCAAATTCCTCAATCTTCCAAATCACAAAATCGATTTTGTGATTAAACCAAAAAAGTTTGAGTCTTTCACACTTTAAAATGTGCAGCCTGGTTTAACAGGAGGGAGCCAAGATTCGTATGTGAGGCATATGTTGTTGAGAGCTCGAAGTAAAAACTGGCGTTGTGTGGTGTTCAATAGCAGAGGATGTGGAGATAGTCCTGTAACTACTCCTCAGGTTTTGATTTCTCCAGCTTTAGATTCATAAAGTAGCTTCCTTTTGTAACTATACCATGAGGATTAGTCCCAATTAGCTTCATTTTGTTAGAAGACTGAAGCTGAAGTGTGTATGATACTGATGATGCAGTTCTACTCGGCTTCGTTTTTAGGAGACATTAGTGAAGTGATTGCTCTTGTTGGAGATAGATTCCCAAAAGCTAATCTGTATGCAGCAGGATGGTCTCTTGGAGGCAACATTCTTGTCAACTATTTGGGTCAGGTTTGGCTTTTATCCATTGAGTTTTTGAAGTAGCATGGAGATGGTTATTATATAACCGAGCTTTGTTCTGCTTCAGGAATCTCATAAGTGTCCTCTCTCTGCTGCTGTTTCGTTGTGTAATCCTTTTGATTTGGTCATAGCGGATGAAGATTTCCACAAGGGTTTTAACAATGTTTATGATAAGGCCCTTTCGAGATCTCTTCGTAGAATCTTCAGCAAGTAATAACTGTTTCGTTTTGCCTTTCAATATCTTTACTTCTTGCTGGTTACTTAGTTCATTAACACATATAAGTTTTCATCTCTCTTGCAGACATTCTCTTCTTTTTGAAGACATAGGAGGTGAGTTTAACATCCCCATGGCTGCAAATGCTGAGACGGTTAGGGATTTCGATGAAGGCTTGACCCGAGGTTAGTTTCTTCTACGTCAAGGAATATCTTTTGCTAGATACTTTGATCATTTTGTCTTCTGTTTTATTCGTGTATCAGTCTCGTTCGGTTTCAAAACGGTAGATGAATACTATTCCAAGTCAAGCAGCTCCAAATCTATAAAGCATGTCCGTACGCCATTGCTTTGCATTCAGGTGAATCCCTGAAACACATTAGCTTCGAACTTGGAACATGGTTTCTTCATATGTTAATATGTTGTATGATTATGAAAATGCAGGCAGCAAATGATCCAATTGCTCCTGACAGAGGGATCCCTCGCGATGAGATTAAGGTAGGAGACGAATGATCAAAGGCTCTTCATTTACAAGAAAAGTCGTGATTTTTTTGGGTTTCTATCTAACAGATGAAAGTGACAGGCAAACCCAAACTGTATGTTGATAGTAACACCAAGAGGAGGGCACTTGGGTTGGGTGGCTGGCGCAGAAGCTCCAAGCGGAGCTCCTTGGACTGACCCAGTGGTTATGGAGTTTCTGCAACATGTAGAGAGCTGTGTAACCATTCATGGGGAGAGATTCTTGGAGGATGCTCATCAAGTTCAAGTTTAGTTCTGTTGAAATAGTATTTTTTTTCAATCTTACACTATTGTCGTGAACAATAATTATAAACACGCAAAGTAGCATAAGTATAAGAGTTCTTGCATTTCAAATTCAAAACAAATAAGAGTTATTGCATTTCCCAAAAAAAGGCAATACGGATGATAACTATTTTCAACTTGGCTTCGAGTAGCTTCATCTTTTGTGATGCCCATGTGAGAAATTATTAATTTTGTTGCAATAGAAAGAAGATTTTATTAATTTTATATGGCATGAGAATGAAGTTGGAACACATGACATCAAGAGTCCTTTGTGTTTTTTTTCGTGGGTTTAGTTTCCAGCAAATGCCATCAAATCATTCTTTGTCATGTACTTCGTATATTGGCAACTAATAAAATATACCAACAGAGAAAAACAATAATATTATTATTTTCCTGATGTATTTAGTTCGAACGTCCTACTCTTGAAGACAATTTGAAAATGGTTTTCTAACCTAAATTGCTAATCTTATCGCATATATAAAACTTAGCAATACATGTGATGTACGTAACGTATGTAATATATAACCAAATAAATTCAGCAGTATTTATTATTGATTGCTATACATTAGGCATCGCACTGAGTAAAGTAAACTATGACATTTTCATTTTAAAAATTTTAAATTATATTCGAACTCCCAGTAGTTTTGTTCAACCATAAAGGTCAGTCTAAATCATATAGTATGAGAATAAACTATGCGAAATAATCGAACTACCCAACGAACCCCTAAATTTATGGAGCTCACAATCCAAATAAATAAACAATAAATATTTGTTCGACTAAAAGAAAATGAGCTTATATATAGCCTTTGAAACCTATAAGGCTATAACCCTAATATATAAGGTTTCCACTAATGAATGAACCTTGTTATAATCCTATTTAATGCATCCATGGCATGTGGATTCCATATGTATAAAACAGACTAATCAAGAAAGTGATGGTTTGTTTTGTAAGCATCATCAAGAATCAAGATATTTCAAATAAAGACTGGCTCCAGTCCCCACATGAACAAAACACACAACGACTTTACCTTTAATTTTGATTAGTTTTTAATCCGTTGTTTTTTATAAACAACAGCAATAACGATGTAGAGAGATGTGAGAGAAGATGGCGTGTCTGTCTGGTCACTCGAGAAAAATATTTAGAGAGAGAGAGAGAGAGAGAGAGAGAAGAATATTTTGGTTCAAGGCCCACAAATACATGTAATCATCAAAATCATGCGAGAGAGAGAGAGAGAGGAGGAGACAAAGGTAAAGTGAAGATAAAGGAGTCGAGGAGAGACAACCCATTTGATGCATCTCTTTCTCTTCCTTTCTTGTGTTTTGGCTTTACTCTTCTTCTTTTGAAATTCCAATTTCTTTTTGATACTACATGATTTGTGGTTTAAAGCTTGTTTCTTTGATTCTTCAACACCATAATTACCTTCAAATCATCATTCCACACAGCTGGTTTATATTTTTTTAGATATTTTTTTGAGAGATTTACAGATTTTCTGATTTTCTAGGGTTTTCTTGCTCTTTCCCCCAAATTTTCCTTTAAACCTAAGTTTCTACAATTGCCTCAATTCCTCTCTGTTTGTGTCTGTATCTTAGATTGTTAGATTTCTGGGTCCCTTTCTTGTTCTTTTCTTTCCGTTAATGGTGTGAAAAGCTTAAAGCTTCTCTCTCTCTCTCTCTCTCTCTCTGCTGTATCAACAATGGCTGAGATCAAGATTGCAAAAGTAGAACAGGGGCAAACCAAGATTAGGAACGTTCCAGTAGCTGTGACTCCTGAAGGTTTCTGGTGTTGTCCTTCTCCTGTAGCTTTTCAAAAGACTCTTAAATCTCACAACGCGCTCAACAAACACAAACAATCTTCTCCTCCCCCTCCTTCACTTCCTAAACCCAGACAGACGTCGGAAAAGGAGAAGGAGAAGGAGAAGAAACAGTCGTCGACAACTATTAGATCCGTCATCGCCTCCGACGAGCAGCAGCAGAATTCGGGTAACTCAGAGACCCATCACAGTATTGCTGTTCCGGCGACGGTTCAAGAGAGGCCGCAGAGGCAAAAGGTTGAGACTTTGCCGAGGAAAGTAGCGATTGAGTTCGGTGAACCGGGAAGTAGTGATGCCAAAGTGATTCTGGTAGGGAAGCAAGGCTTCTGCGTGAAGCTGATTGTTCACAAGAAGGTTTTGGTGGATCATAGTAGTTTCTTCGCTAAGAAACTCGCCGAGAAAGATTCGGTTTTTGCTTGTCTTGAGATTGAGAGCTGTGAGGATGCTGAGATTTACGTTGAGACCATTCGGCTTATGTATTGTAAAGACATGAAGCAGCGGCTAACGAAACAGAACGTAAGCAGAGTCCTCGGCGTCCTCAAGGTATTTGCAGCTAAAACCCTTTTGTTAGAATTCTCGTCTTATCAAGATTAATTTGGTGTTGATGTTCATAGATAACGACTCGACTTGGTATTTGCAGGTTGCAGAGCTTCTTGGTTTCAGCTCTTGTATTCAATCTTGTTTGGATTACTTGGAAGCTGTGCCTTGGGTTGGGGAAGAAGAAGAGGAGAAAGTGATCGCATCGATTCTCAGATTGAAAACCGAAGGAGCTGGTGTCATCACTCCTGTTCTCAAACGAGTTTCATCCAATGCTGTGGATCCGCCGAAAGAGACGCTCTCGCGAATCATCGAGCTTGTTCTGAGAAGCAAAGAGGAGAAGAGCCGCCGTGAGATGAAATCTATCGTCTTGAAGCTTCTCAGGGAACAGAATGGGAACAACGTAGCTGATAACTTCAACGAAACCATCTACGCCTCTTGCCAAAACTGCTTGGACTCGGTCTTGTCTCTGTTCAAACAAGCTTCAGACGGAGAAAAGCCTGAGACCGATACCAAACAGATAGCTGTAGAAGCTGATAACCTCACGTGGCTGCTCGATGTGCTAGTGGAAAGACAAGCTGCAGATGAATTCTCAGTCACGTGGGGAAACCAAAAGGAGCTGGCTTTGTTACACGAGAAGCTTCCTTTGATGTCTCGTTACCACATAAGCCGTGTAACATCTCGGCTCTTCGTAGGGATAGGGAGAGGAGAGTTGTTGCCTTCGAAAGACACTCGGCTTCTGCTGTTGACCACGTGGCTGCAGCCACTGTTCAGCGACTATAACTGGCTCCAACACGGTTGCAGATCGTTCGATGGTAAGCTTGTGGAGGAAGGAATCGGACGGACGATACTGACGTTGCCGTTGGAAGATCAGCAGAGCATTTTGATGTCGTGGCTCGGGAGTTTCTTGAACGGAGGAGATGGATGTCCGAATCTTCAGAGAGCGTTTGAGGTTTGGTGGAGACGATCTTTCGTTAAGCCATACTCAGATCGTCAGGCTAGTAATAGTTTGTGTCAGACAGATTCGACTTCAAAAGAGTGATTTTACATATAAAAAGGGAATGAGTTCATCTTTGGTAGATTGTATAGTGAGTAATGTAAGCTAAGGAGTTGGCTGATCTTTGATTTCCGGTTTGGTTGGTTTTGTTTTTGTTTGGTTTAGATTGTACCATAGAGAGGCAAATGCTTTAAAAAGACTTTGAGTGGTCGATTTTTTTTCTTGGTGTTTTTGTATTTTTCAAATTTTCATAATGTTGGATGTATATCTCTGATTTGGTTTCTATACCAATTTTAATGTTTGGTATGAACCGGTTTCTGAATACCATAAATTGGGAGAAAAATAATTAAGCTACACTATGACTTATGGGCCTCGGGCCTTTAATTATGATGTTTAAATCATATAACAACTATTTGCACACAAGCAAAGATTATATAACAACTACTACAGACCAATAAGCCGTTGCGTATTCACATCTGAGTAATCTTATTAAAAACTATAATATAAGAGTTACCTATTGACAATGATTATCTAGTTTCGAACTAAGGGTTGAATTGCTCATCCAATAACAATGGCTAAGAATGCATATACAGTCATTGTGCCAAACAAGTCAATTTTGTTACAGACTCTTCATCACGCAGAGTATCAGATCTCGCAGAGCTGGGTAAAAGAATATCCATTTTTGAGCAAGTCTTCTTTGGTCGGTTTACCCAATGTTCATCTAGATAGACCACAAGTGATATTAAAAAGAACAACAAATCCATGGTGAAATAAACATAATATTCCTCTACTCTGAAAGGATTTAGAGGGATGTTTTAACACATAAGGAAATATGCCAAAATATGCCAGCATCCACTTCTTCCGATTACATTAAGCAGCAGAGTGAAGTTTGTCATGATGATGCTTATGACAATAAACTGTAGAATAAGACAATTCAATTATTAACAGTGAAGTAGAAAGGACACACCACAAAAATACGTACCCCAAAAGTGTAGTCGTGGAGACAATAGAGAGTTTCTGAAACGTCCATAATTAACAAAGTGTGCAGGGATGAGAAACATCCTGTTCCATTGGGTGGTAGTAGATCAATACCCTTCGAAGACACTATACCAGCCATTTGACCAATACATCAAGATGTGTTGGAATTCAGATTTCAAGGAACGCTACTCAGTAAGAAAATTATAAGATAGAACAAGTTGTATACTATTCCTCCGGCTGAGAAATCACCTTCTTGTCCCCAAGTGATCCACTTTAATGCATATATACGCATTGTACATCAAGATCAAAATCCACACCACATAATCGTAGGCTCTCGCTAGAAAAATCAGTATGAGTTGCTTCCATGAAATCCTCCTGAGTGCCTCTTCCGAATAAACAGGCGTGTAGGATTTTGGTATAAAATTAACAGTATAAAATATAAAATTGGGGAGCATTGAGCAACGATAGAGAAAACGAGAATCTCATGGCCGAATTTTGCACATGGTCAAATCTTTGCTGGAACTAACGTTGTAAAGTTGTGATGTGTTCATTGATTTTGTTTCTCTAGACCTTATATGAGTTGTGTATCATTTTCAAGCCCTTTAGACTTTTCGTTATAAAAAGATTTACAGGCAAAAATCAAGAAAAGCCAACAAATGTTTTTGGTTACTTTCTAAAATTATATTTCCCATAGCAGCAAACAAAAAGTATTCAGTTTTGAAAATATAATTTTGGAGAATAAGAACTGTGGTGTACCTTCTATAACAGCTGTTATAGACTTGTAGTCTTTGTGAATGTAAGAGTGTGGCTTATAACTCTTGGCACGTTATCTTTCGATCACTCTTCTTGTTAACATATAATACATATTAATTAACATATATATATATATATATTAATTGTAGGTTCAGGTTTCTTAACAAAAAAATTGTATTACATTTCAATTTTCTGAATCATTTCCCTCATCTTTAATCAGAATTTCAGATCATGAAAGCGAAATGTTACAAAATTTTAAACGTGAAGCCTTACTTTTCAAGAAACCCATAAGTATATTTAATTAGAGTCACGATAGTGATAACTTATATTAAAGTCTCGATAGTGATATGTATTCATTCATATGGAAGGTCTTAAGGAAATATCAGTTATCAACATAACAATAACACTCAAGTTTCTCTATGGCTTGACACCTCAATTTTTTCAAGTTTTATAAACATAACACCTCAGCAAAAATAATCACTAATCAAAATATTTTATTAATACATCTCATCTATTTATTTTAATTTTTAAACTTAAACCCATTAAAAACCCAAAAATATTTTTCTATTAATTTTTATTTTATTTTTTACCAAACCCAAGCCTAAATAATTAATAACAGTAAATAAAAAAATTATTATTTTATTTTTTGTCAAATTCAAACCCAAATAATAAATAAAAATAAATTAAAAAACTTAAATCATTGTTTTCTTTTTTTTTTGTCAAAACCAAATCCAAATAATAAATAACAGCAAATAATTAATAAAACAAAATTCTAGCTATCTGTTTGTTTGACATAAACGTATATGATTGAAAAAGTGTAGGCTCAGCATCAACTATGCTTCCATGACAACACTGCAAAAAGCTTTATGTTATAAGAAGCTCACACATCAACAAAAATTTGAACCGATAAAAACATAAGAATTTTTTAGTTTTCGCAGGAAAACATAATTTCACAGGAGATAATGCAATTTTTGGTTTTTGGTTTTCGCGGGAAATTGTAGTTTATATGTTTTTGTAGGAAAGCGTGATTCTGTGCTTGACGAGAAAATGATTTTTTTTTTTGCAGAAATAAACGATTTCTCAGTTTATCGCAGGAAAAAATAAATTTCTCGATTTTGGCGAGAAAATACAATTTTGTTTTTTGATTTTTGCAGGAAGATGAAACTTTTGGTTTCTGTGAAAAAAAACGTAATTTCTCGGCTTTGGTGGAAAAACACAAGTTCTCGCGGGAAAATAAAATTTTAGATTTTAGGTTTGACGAGAAAATGAATTTTTAGCCGTTCTCAGTTTAATGGGAAAATGAAGTTTTTTTTGTTTTGACGGAAAATGCGATTTCTCAATTTTTGTAAGAAGATGAAATTTCTTTGTGCTAAATTTCCAAGTCAAATTATGTTTACAGTAACCAAAATTTAATTATTTAACTTTAACTAAAACGATATTTTAAGAGTTCAAATATAATTTTCTATTTAGTTCTAAAACAATAGCAATGATTTTGATATGAATGTTATTGATTATAGTTTGGTAGTTTTAGAAACATATGTTTATAATAAAATATTTGATAAATAAATAAATTTTATAATGCAAAATAATCATATTAATTAATAAATATTTTTTTAAATGACATTTTGCTTTATATAATTATAAAAGAGGATCATGTGGCAATTTATTGGAGAAAATAGATTACATTTGTCATAGCATGAAGGTATTAAAAATGTATTGCTTTATTCTTATATATTTTATTCCTATATACACATTTATAATTAGTTAGCTAACTAAATTTAATAGCAAAATATAATTTTGAAAAAAAAAAAAATATATATATATATATATATATATGTAATGTTTATTTAGATTTTAAACATATAAATACATAACTTAAGCTAATAAAAAAATAAATATAATACTTATTTATATTATAAAAATAATTTTATTATATTAAAAATATATATAAAATTTAGAAAAATATCTCACCGTATAGCGTGGGTAAATACCTAGTACATAATAATACCACGTGGCGAATCAGGAAATTCTGATCTGGTGATTACTTTCCGTCTTAGCTTAACCTAACCACGAGAGCTGCAGAAATAATTACTGTAAAAAAATTAATCCCTTTCAGAAGGATAACATTTCAGTCTTTTTGAAAAATTATGATGTAAAATTTATTCAAACTAAATTCCAGTTTCTTCCTATATAATCAACTACATATACTTTTGAATTTTTATTTTAAAATAAATAAAAAATGGTATTGTGTCCTTTACTTAGCCTATCGTCTAATTTAGTTTGTTCTTAATTATCCCCAAATTAAAGGTTTTTAAACTATTGTTTTAGTTAATCAGAAAATCAGGGGTTTCTACGCATAGCTATTTTGGATTTGGAACGATATTCTGATAACCATGGCGTTTTCGCACCACACATCAAAATTAGGATTCAGAACCGGCTTTAATGGCCCTCATCCTCATGCAAACAAAAATTTCGTTAATTTTGGGATATGCATGGGAGCATTTTAAACGCTGATTGGTCTCTTATTTGAATAATTGAATCTATATGATATATATTGATGTTGGTTCAAACAAAATACCTTCAATCATTTTGAGAAATGACGTGTGTTACAATATTCAACCCCAAATTGATTAATATGCATAATGACAATGCCCACCGCAAAATATACGCAGTTCCTATGCTTTTTCAGAAAAAAAAAAAAATCGATCCTTTTCATGTACCGCATATTAATATTTCACTATATTAATTGAATCCACCACCTAGAACTATGATAATTGGTTATGACACTGGCATTTGATTTATGTACAGTATGTAGCTTTAATCTTACTCTTCTATCTCATTTAAAAAACCTAATTTTAGAAGGACAATAGAGATAATTTAAGGTGCTATGATCATATGTGTGCCTGAAGACTGTGGGCAACTAGTTCTCTTATGTTAAGACTGACTATAATTGATTGCAGACCAAACTCCCTTTGTCATTTTTTTTTTTTTTGGGGTAAATACTGTATATGCATGCTTCGAGAAATCTTTGAACTTCCGAAGTGAAAAACAACACATTATTGATGGGCTTTTATATCTTGGCCCATGTGAAGTTCCGTTTCCGTGTCAAACCGTTTAGCAGTTAAGAAGAAAAGAAAACTTCCTCCACAAGCTACTGTTGCAGGTAAGTTTGAATTAGATATACTATTTGTAAGACAATACAACGAGATTGGTAGAAAACACACAATAAGTTAACAGTCATTGTTTGACCATGAGAAAGGATGGTATAACCTTTCCAAAATCGTTGCGGCCCAAGTCAACAAGCATGATGTGTTCTGCTTTTCTTCTTCTCCAACATCTGATCCTCTTCGAAACCCCTTCCCCGTCTTGCAGTGCCTCTATTCACTATCTTGTTCTGTTTTACAAAATCCAAAAGGTGTTAGTTTATTACAAGAAGCTCAGGAGAAGAGGTGATGTGAGATGCTTACTTTCTTCACTCGAGTGAGAATTTAGTAACAAGTGATATATAACAATAGGTGAGGGAGAGAGGAGAAGCACTGGCTTGCAAGTAACACATAGAGGGAGGTGGATTCACAATCCCCAAATCTCTATAACCTAAATTAAA